GCCGGAGAAATTGCCTCCCACTGCGGCTGCCTCTCCCTCTTGCTGGGCACCGGGGGAATCCCCGGAAGCCAGCTGGGGGTCAGGGGGTCGTCCCTTGTCGCAGCTGCCCCTCCTGTGTTGCCAGTGGTCAGGGGAGGCTACCAGTTGCCGGGGGAGCTATGGCCTCATAGAAGAGCGTGGAGTCTCAGTTCCTAAGACCATTGGAAATATGTATTTTCCGATTGTCTTAGGCGACCCCTGTGAAAAGATTGTTCGACCCCCAAAGGGGTCGCGACCCACTGCTTTATACTAAGGTTTTTCCAAGAGTTATTTAAACTCTAGGAATAGTTATTTAAACTTACTATATAGCAGATGCTGTTCCAATCCTCTACTGAAATAGGTTGAATGTGCAAAAGGAGAGTTCTCCAATTGTAATGCATGAGCACCATACAGTGGCTATCTCTTTAAGTACATCCAAGCTCCTGATCTAACTACTTACTAGAAAATACTAAAATGCAAGTATATATTTATATAAAGCTGCTATGATTCTCTTCTGTATATTAGCTTTCCATATGCATGAATGCATTCAGAATTGTAGCGGAAGACAAAGAATGTATTTGCTGAACATTTGAATACAGTCTATATACACTCTCACTGGTTACAACAGATCAATCATAATTGCTTGCAAACATGCAAAAATAAAAACAAAGCAGAGGGATGTTTGCAGTCAGGATTCATTTTAAAGAATATTTTATTGTTGTTTTATTTGCTTATGTTTCAAGTATCAGAATCACTCATTTGGTTAAGCACAACCAAAAAAAGAAATGAACCAAACCAAAAAGAAATGCAAGTGGAAAACACTTCACGCTTTATAATTTACACTAATGTACATTACACATAATTTACAATATTAGCATATGATGAATGCTACTGAAATGTTTCATCAGAAAATTAATGTTCACCTTTGCAGCTATCAGACAGCAAACTCATATTAAAATTAATTTTGAGTACCCAATGAATCCATGAATATGAATTATATATTCATTATTTAAAACAAAAATCCATTATATAAATCTCAATGGATTAATGAAATTCAGTAGATTATCCATATTCACATTTGTGTCGATTGGTCATAAAGAGCAGCCATAGTGCAGAATTTCACTGTTAACTGCCAATGGTTTAAATTAAGGTGTGTAAATCTTTTAGAGTATTTTGGAACCTGCAGAACTCTGCATTAGTATTAGAGAAATGAGGTTTGCCATTTATATACTATCTGTGCATTAACCTGAATCAAAGTTACTGCACGTTTTTTTAAAAAAAGTGGCTGCTTTAATAAGACTGGACAGCCGAGGACTTCCGGTTTTGCGTCACAGCGAGATGGAGGCAGGAAGCCATGGCTCTACCTTCCGTGTCTGATTTTGCCCTGCTGTGGGCCCTAAAAAAGGGCTTAGTCACCCCAGAGAGGTGAGGAAGAAGGAGGGGTGTCTCGTCAATCACGGAGAGATGGCGGTCTTTCCGTTCGATCCAAGAAAGCCCTCCATACTGGCAGGGGAAAGACTGGCTACATTCCTATGGCCAGCCATTAGCTGCTGACAACCAAAGAAGAAAAGCACCTATTAACACATCATAAACAGCATGTTTGGAACTGGGTAGAATATCTATCCTTTCTTTACTATTTTACAACAGAATTTCCTGGGAAAGCTTCCCAAGAAGCTAAAAACCATTGAATGTGAATGGAAGTGGTGTTTTAATTTCTATGGGGGACAGAAATACGCAATATTGAAGTGGAAGTAACATAAAGCTACAGTTTTTAAATTTGAGAATTGAGATAATTATTAAGATTTTCTCTTTGGAAAAAAAAACATTGAGGTGAAATATAAGAAATCAATCCTTTGTCTTAAAAGTGGAAAATGGATTTTGAATGAAATCTAGTAGTGAGTACAGCACTATAATTAGCTTCCTGGCTGCTTGGTGACTCCTAGCTTAAGGGAGAACAGCTGGCAATAAAGGAAAATATTTTGATATACTTATCACCCTGATCTTTTTGGACTATAAACACCTACTGAGCATGAACTTTTAATCTCAAAAGCTAGTGAGAGAGAAAGAAAAATTTGACCTTTGGTTACATCTGGCTGGGGGAGAGTTTTGAGCTGTTTTTAAGGAGATTGAATACTTTGAACACTTTGAACATTGTGGATTATAATCTTGCCTGACTGACAATTTTTGCATGCCTGAGACAAAGGATCACTATAAAATATTGCTTTTGGGACTAGACCTATATTCTGGAATCTATTGGATTATAAAGGCTACATATAAAGTCCAAAAAGCTAGAGGAAACTTTGTTCTACTCTTACTGGGACTGGTGATATTAGAGGATCTCCGGAATGATGCTTCGAGAAAAAACAAATGCCTTTCATAAGGAAATATTCTCTACGCTACAATTCACCAAACAATTGTTGCATACAAAGAGGATATAAAAAGAAACTATAATGATACTAAAAATAATTTATATAATATAAACGAGCAAATCTCCAAATTAAATCTACAACTAGAAAGTTCTGGAGACAAGCCGTTCCACATTAATTGTTCTAACTGTCAGGAAATTTCTCTTTAGATCTAGGTTGCTTCTCTCCTTGATTAGTTTCCATTCATTGCTTCTTGTCCTGCCTTCAGTTGCTTTAGAGAATAAGTTGACCCTCTCTTCATGACGGCCCCTTTGATGTTGGAATGCTGCTATCATGTCACCCTTAGTCCTTCTCTTCATTAAACTAGACATACCCAATTCCTGAAAACATTCTTCATATGTTTTAGCTTCCAGTCCCCTAATCATCTTTGTTGCTCTATTCTGCACTCTTTCTACAGTCTCAATATCTTTTTATATCATAGTGACCAAAACTGGTTGCAATATATGTGGTCTTACCAGGGTATTATAAAGTGGTACTAACACTGCACATGATCTGGATTCTATTGTTCTGTTAATGCAGCCTAGGTTTGGTTTTTTTGGTAGCTGCAGCACACTATTGATCATACTTAAGTGATTGTCCACTAGGAGTCAAAGATCCTTCTCACAGTTACTATTACAGAGCCATGAACCACCTATTCTATACCTGTGCGTTTAAATGGTTGTCCTTACTTAAATGTAGAATATTTTCTCACCAATGAATTTCATTTTGTTAGATAGGACCCAATGTTGAAGTCTGTCAAGATCCTTATGTATCTTGAGCCTATTTTCTGGAGTGTTGGCTATTCCTGCCAGCTTGGACAATAAGATATATCTTCTATTTCTTAATCACTTTGTTTTAATTATTTGCCTTTACTGATGTAAAAGAGTCTCTTTTCAATTGTAGTGTGTTATTTCTTTTTGAAGAACTGTGCCATCTTAGAAATACTGTGAGTGCTAAACAATGAAGAGGAAATAAAGAAGCTTAGAATATTTTCTTTCTTTAATTGGTCTTTGACAAGCACAGGCATTCAAAATTTTAAAGTATAATTGGCCTTTTTCTGCCATGATCACTTGATAATGGGATTTATTACTAGTGACTAGTGACTCTGACGTACTTATGGGAAAGCAAGTTTCTGATTTTAACTGAACTTGATTAGTTAAGATACAACTTCAGACTTCTAAATGTGTTACTTATAAGATTTGCTCTTGGACCATAAGGGGGAGTCAAAGATTAAAACAATGGGAAAGCAGAATTTAATTAAATAAACAATAAATAAAGATGAATACCAAATTACAAAAGAGGAACCAACCCAGCTGGATCTCACGAGAACCACGTTGGAGGAATATTCAGACAAAAGAATTCAAGCAAAAGAAATGAAAATTGTTAATCTAGCAATGAAATTGAATGAAGAAACTTCTCAAACCACTGTAAGTGGCAAAAACCAAGTAAATGACAAAATTGATTTTTTTGAAATACACAATGAAGAATAAGGCTATTCATTATGAGAATGGTTTAAATAAAATTGTCCTAATGGAACTAAAGAAAGAACTTTCAGGTACCTTGAGCCATAACAGAACAAGTCCTAGATCTCATTCCAAATCTGAATTAAAGGATCCATAACTGCTTTTTCCTTTTCCATTTCTTTTTATCCAACATCTCCTTTTCACACTTTTTCTCATTTTTATTTTCATTTGTATTTTATATTATAATATACTCTGATACAATTAATAAAAGACAAGTTGATTGTGTTGAAATCAGATATGTGCAATGATATAAAAGTCAAGGTTAACTACCCCTAGGAGAGGACAATTTTATGGAACAGCAGCAGGGATTACTCATATTTTATTATACTTAATATGCAAATAACCAATGGGATAAGTTAGGTATGCCTTTCCTATTTCATCCATCAAATGTGCAAACCTAACATTTAAGTAAAACAGATATAGATTACAGATAATAAGAGATAGAGATTAGATAGAGATAGATAGATAGATAGATAGATAGATAGATAGATAGATAGATAGATAGATAGATAGACAGACAGATATGCAAAATGTTTCCTTCTGAAAGAAAAATATAAAACATCTGATGTAAAAACAGTAAGAATGGGTAATTACAGCTTTGAATAAACAGCATAAAAATGTAAATAACAGCATTAATTATAGAAAATATACTATTTCTACACAGAGAGAATAATACATACATGTTCAACAGATATTGTATTTTCTGGAATGTCCATTAAAAATAGCATAATATTTTAATTTACACAGAAGTAACTCACTACTTTGCACTTTTTCAAGAAACTTACAAAAAAATAAGAAAATAAGAAAAGGCCATGATATTCATATGAACCTCATTAATTGGTCGTAATGATATTCAACTGATCTTATTTCCAGTAACACATGCTACTATATTTAAAAAGAGGAACTGTTCCTCTACTAGATGGTGCCACTGATTGTACTGAGATATTTCTCACAGTAAATATAACATATAGATATTATGACTAGCTTATTATTGATATCAGCATCATCATTATTTTCTATCAAATGTCAATAAGATCATAAAAACAGAACTTACTGACTGTTACTTTATCTTTATCTCCCAGCATGATATTGTTTGGAGTGAGATCTCTATGGACAATCCTCTTCTCTTTGTGCAAATACCGAAGAGCTAAACACAGCTTAATAACAACAACAATAATAATAATAACAATGATGATTATGATAACAATCTTAATGCAATACAAAGCCAGATACATCAGCACTAATTAAACAACTTTTTAATGGCAATAAAATTCTGAAGCATAACACTGAAAGGATAATTTGTGAGTGTCCTATAATAAGCAAAATGGCTACTACAGTTCATTAGAAGATCAAAGTGTACTAGTCACATTTTTTGCTTTGCAGAACAGCTGAGAGTACTGTATCCAGAATAGTTGCAAAGAAGGAAACTTACTTCTGTTAAATGCTGTGTGTTGTTTTGCATTTCTTCTAAAAGGGAAGGAGCATGTAAACTCTATCATTAGAGGGAAATTGACAGAGTTTTATTTTTGCTAGATTCCTCAAGAAAGAAGTTGCCTTTAAAACATTATGGTATTATGGACCATATTGTCTTGATAGACTTTTGGCAAAAAGTTTTATGATTAGTAACTTCTAGTGACAATTTTCTCTTATTGCAAACAAAAAATGAACATGGATACTTCAGAAGGGACAAAAGGACAGATCCTGATAAGTATCAATATATTATTACCATATAATCATTACAGGTGGAAAACCATGTTAGGCTATTTATATATATATATAAACCAGGAATGTGGAGCACCTTTTCCGACTAACAAATAAGCTCGCAAAAAGTTTAGATCTTTCAAAAACATTTGTTAATCAGAAAAGGTGAGGCCACATTCTTTTCTTTTCTTTTCTTTTTTTTGCCATCATAGCCTAACATGGTTTTCAGACTTTTCAGATCCTGATTAACTATATGACCAGAAAAGATGTAGGGGAAGTAATGAAGGGAAATTCAGGTTCTTACTTGAATGAATATATTCCATATTCTCTCTTCTGTAAATTGTTGTTGTTTTTCCTTCAAAGAATGAAAATGTTCTCCAAGGGGTGCTCCTTCTATGAGCTCCATGACTATATACAATCTATCATCTATACATAATGAAACAAAAAATAGTAACAATAAAATAATTGTTATGCAAGGGAAATCAAGCAGGCATATTTCTTGGAAATAATTAAAGCAAACTGATTCTTCAGATGTTCTCACAGGAACACAGCATTAGCCTATGTTCTCAACAACTATGCATTCAATCACTTAATGATGTCTCCCAAAAACTGAACTGCTTAACATCAAACCTAATTCATTGACTATGTGATGTTAGTTATTTTCTTGGAACAGATTCATAATGATAAACAAAAAAATCTCTTCAACTTGATTATAGTTAAAAATACATAGTTTTCAGCAACATTTAAAAGAAAATATTTGTATATCAAACTTGTAGTAAATTAAATATTGCTGTGAGGTGACTTGGTGCTCTCTGAGCTTGGTTGTTTTCTTGCAGAAGCTTCATTACCAAAACTAGGTAATCATCAACACTGGATATTTTAGCAACATTTAACTTACTACAAGTTTGATATTTTTTTAATGTTTTTGTAGTTTTTACGAAGTTTTATGTTGCAAGCTGCCAGAGTTGCTACAGTGAGATGCCAGCAAATCCAAACAAACAATTGTAGGTCTGTGGTTAATTGATTTGTATATTAAGAAAATATCAAATGTGAAATCTCATATAATGCAGTCTGTCTTGAAGAGAAACTTAAGGTCTTTCAAATTCCATTTGATGGTAGCTGCTGAAAGACAATAGCAGTTTCTGATTTGAGAAAGATACTAAAATGAAAATGTAAATAATGAACCTCCAAACTTCTCTATAACCATCAAGAAAAAAATAGAGAATCATGGCTCCCTGCCCACTCACTATGTTCCTCAAACATCCAACTTTACTTATGACCACAACTGAATCTAAAATTTCCATTGCTAAACAAGGCAGTTGTGAGTTGTGCCCCATATTATGACTTTTTTTGCCATGGATGTTAAGCGAACCACTTCAGTTGTTAAGTGAATCATACATTCGTTAAGCAAATCTGGTTTCTCCCATTGACTTCGCTTGACAGAATGAAAGTTGCAAATGACAATCCAAGAACCCTGGGTTGCTGCAACTATCAGTAAGTATGGGGATGCTGCAACATCATCCGTGTGAGAACTGATCATGTCACTTTTTTCAGTGCTGTTGTAACTTTCAACAGTCATTAAATAAATGGTTGTAGGTCAAGAACTATCTGTACTCCCCCATAGATACACAAAGATACATCAAAGTGCAACCCCTGGCTACTCCCAAATTGCCTGCTCCTGCTATCTAAAAACCTCAGTTCTTGAAAAGACAAAGTCTTTTTTAAGCTAACATAATGCTACCTGTTCAAACTTCTAATTTTTGTTTCCAATATATTCCCTTTCCTTCCTATGGCTTAACTAACAACTTAATACTTGTCTAATTAAAAAAAATGGAATATACTTGAATATGTCAAAAGAAGACATTTCTGACATAGTTCCTACTTGATTTTTTTTTTTAATTATGAAAGTAATACACTGTGGATTGTAACTTTGTAGACTTATACTTACTTTCTAAAAAGGTTCTGTGGTATCGTACAACATTGGGGTGATAAAGCTAAAATAAAAACATACAAATATTAGATTAAATATGGGCAGTCTGTGATACATTCGACATGATCCAGTACTCAAATATTTTTTTTCTTTTTTCAAAAAATAAGAGTATGAATGGAAGCACAAAGTACCTTCATACATACCAGAGATGTCAAACTGCCGGCCTGCGCCCCGGAGTGCACACAGAAGCTGCGCCCACCCCATTGCCAGCAATGACAAAACAGTCCCATTACGTCGTGTGACATTGTGAGTTTGACATGTCTGCCTTAAACTGTTTATCAACCCTACCCATAAAATTTTGTGGCAAATCAGTAAGATGATTTCAGTCTGAATAGCATGGAAGTGAGAGACTTTTAAGAAGTGAAACACACCCATCACTACCCTTAACCCCACTTCCTCCAAGAAAAAAAATGGACAAAAAATATTAACCCTACCCATTCTAGAAGCAGTACAACATAAAAGTGATTTTCCTCTAAATGGTAATTATGGCAAATTAGCTTTTGAAAATTAGCATAACTTTTGGCATTTGGGTGGCATTAATGCTTATTTGAAGGGACTGCATCAGTGACAGATAAAAGTATCACAATGTCTCTGTTATGTTTTTAGAATTTATTACTAATTGCAATTTTTTTCTTGATTAGTCTTTAACTGCAAATGTATGAATGGTCACACAGTTCAATTAAGGCTTGCAGTAGGTTAGGAGGGACACGTGCATTATAGTAGTTCCCTAGTCCTCGACAAACTTACTCAGGATGAATAGGAACAGGCAACAGGTAATGAAAAGGCTGAGCAGGGGAATAAAAGTAGGTAGCCAGCACATACTCAGGGTAGCATAGTAATTAAAATAAGACTTGCCCCACAATTTTTCTGAAGCTTATTTTTATTTGGTCTCACCTGTTCTTTAATTATGGTTAATTCAGACACAATGTTCTTCACACTGCTCTCTCGATCTTTTTTATCTTTTCCAAATGCTGGATTGTGTAAATTAATCTCTTTCATTGCTAGAAAGTTTTGGCCACTATGTTTTCTAACCTACACCGGGAAGAAAGATATGAACAGATAGTATACAATAGAAATTAAAATGTAGGACCAAGTTTCCATTTTGCAATGAGAATATTTTTGGATGATATATGAGTAATTGCACGTCCTCTCAGATTTGAGTAGAAAATTAGAATCTCTGAAAACTGGCCAGGTCACACTGTGAGCACTACTAATTATTATTTATATAGCCCACTACAAATTATTTAAAGCAGGGTTTTTCAACCGGTGGTACGCATACCACCTGTGGTACATTGGCATCTGGCAGGTGGTACATGACCATCCTAAAGAAGTGGGGGAGGGGGAGGGGAATGAGCTGAACCAGCAGCAGCAGCACTGCACAAGCCTGAGTGAGAGACGGCTGGAGCCGCAGGGCTGTCAGGGCTCAGCAGGTGCCAGGATCAGTGCTGGGCTCAGCTGATTGGCACATCTTCAGGGCTGTCAGGGCTCAGCAGAAGCGCCAGGATCAGCATCGGGCTGATCCTGGTGGTTCTGCTGAGCCCTTAAGAAGCGCCGATCCTGGTGCTTCCTGTGAGCCCAGAAGAAGCACTGATCAGCTGGAGTTCGGTGCTGATCCTGGTGCTTCTGCTGAGCACAGAAGAAGCGCCAATCAGCTGGAGCCCAGGGCTGATCCTGGCACTTCCATTGAGCCCAGAATAAGCGCCGATCAGCTGGAGTTCAGCACTGATCCTGGCGCTTCTGCTGAGCCCAGAAGAAGTGCTGATCAGCTGCAGTTTGGCACTGATCCTGGCACGTCTACTGAGCCCAAAAGAAGCACCGATCGGCTGGAGTTCAGTGCTGATCCTGTCACGTCTGCTGAGCCCAAAAGTGCCAATTAGCTGGAACCCTGCCCCTACTCTGCAGAGGGCAGATCCCCATCATCTCCAGCCCGGCAGGGGTCTTCCTGCTGCACCATTGTAGACAAAGGGGGGCTCCGGTGAGGAGGAGGTGGAGGAAGAGGATTTAAGCAAGCTTAGCAACTGGAGTGGGGATCCCCCCCAAATCAAACATGCTTTGTGGGTAACAGAAGTGACCAAAACCTACTGCATCCACCCAGCAGATGGGGGAATAAAAAACAATCCCCCCCACTGCCAATCCTCAACAGAAATGCTTACAACAATGAAAACCTCGGACAGGAGGAAGAGCGCGGCTGGGCGGGTAGGCAGGTGCCTTGCTCGGCTGTGGCTTGGGGGGGAAGAGGGCAGCTTCATCTCCCCAAATGCTGCCCTCTCACGAAAGCAGGATGAAAACTCCAAAAAACGACAAGGAGAAAAGGTTAAAACAGAAGAGTGTCTCATGATGGTTTGCTTCCCTACTACCTTCTAGCAGAAAGAAAAAAATTGGCTTTCTTTCATTGTAATTCAGAAGGGAGGAACAGGAGGATTCGGGGGGGGGGCAAGTTGTTTGTTTCAAAGGAAGAGAAAGAAGGGATTTGGGTCTGTGGAGGGCACAGCAGGTGAATGGTGATGGCGCACGGTTTCTGATGTTGGGGAAGGCGGTCCTTTTAAAAGAGCAAAACGAGGCAAAATATAAAAATCTCCCATTCCATCCCCAAGAGTTGGATGCGGATGTGATTTTTTTTTTCTTGTTCAGAAGAGGCACTCTTCTGTTTTAACCTTTTTTCCTGGTCATTTTTCAGAATTTTCATTCTGCTCTCAGCAGTGAGCAGTGTTTGGTGGAGCATGAAGCTAACCCCTTTCTTTCCCCCAAGCCACCAGCTGAGCAAGATGCCCGCCTGCCTGTACTCTTCCCCCTGTCCAAGTTTTTTTGTTGTCATGAGCATTTCTGTTGAGAATTGGCAGGGGGACTGTTTGGTTCTTATTTCTCTCCCCCCCCTGCCGTCTGCTGGGAGGTTGCAGCAGGTTTTGGTTGTGCTGGGTGATTACCCACAAAGCATGTTTTTTGGGGGGATTCCCAAATATCTATCAGCTTCTTTGAGTCAACCAGAAGGAGAGAAGGGGATAGAACAGTGCAAAGATTAACGTCAGAGAAACAGGGACAAGTTTCCCATTTAAAGTGTGTGGTAAGTGGGTATACAGATAGTCCTCAACCTACAACCACAATTGAGTCCAAAATTTATGTTGCTAAGTGAGTAATTTGTTAAATGAGATTTGTCCCATATTATGACTTTTCTTGCCACATTTGTTAAGTGAATCACTGCAGTTGTTAAATTAGTAACACGGTTATTAAATGAATCTGGCTTCCTCCATGGACTTCGCTTGTCAGAAGATCACACAAGGGGATCACATGACACTGGGACACTGTGACCATCATAAATATGAATCAGTTGCCAAGCATCTGAATGTAAATCACAAGACTCTGGGGATGCTGCAACAGTCATAAGTGTGAAAAATGGTCATAAGTCATTTTTTCAAATGCCTTTGTAACTTCGAACAGTCACTAAGCGAACTGTTGTAAGTCAAGGACTACCTATACTTTATAACTTTTTTCCCTTTTTTAGTCATCAAATTTTTGACACCTTGCTAGGCGACAGGTGGTACTCGGATATTGCCATATCCTAAAAGTGATACAATGGGTGAAAAGCCCTGCTCTGGGGTACTGTGGAATGGTGACTTGTAGGTACTGAACTAAGGAACAAGGTATAATTTGAAATTGCAATCTTGACTATGTTAACCAGTGGTGTCAATCTCGCAACATCATGTGATGTGTCACGACGTATCGCAACTTGTTTCCCATTGCCAGCAATGGGATGGACGCGTTTTCACTATGATGCATCCAGACCATGGGCCAGTAGTTTGACATCCCTGATGTTAACTTTCTCAACTATTTAAATATTTAATACAAATAATGCTAAGTCAAATCAACATATTGCCTTCCTTTGTCAATAAAAATAAATATATATTTGCAATCTAGTGTGAGAATTATTGAAAAGAGTATGAAAAACAATATTCAAAACAAATCAAAGGCAGTTTTACCTTATAAACACTTCCAAATGCTCCACTGCCAAGATGATCCAAAACTGCATAATTGCCTATGTATTTCATAGGTGCTTTATTCTGATTAATATTTTCAATATTTTCAGCAATTTGCTTAACTTCATCCTCCTGGTTACAAAAGTTATTGATGCAATTTTAGACAATGATTATAATATATAAAAGTTCTACTTTCCCCTTAAAAACCACTTTTACCCATTTTTTCATCTCAGTCAAGACCACTTCTTTGACTATTTCACTCTTAAATGAAATTTACACGGCTAGAGCACTTGAAAGAAGTATGGTGACTTAAGGTTAACACAAAGCATAAGGCAAAGCATCATACAGCTATCTCTTGTACAAAAGCAGTTTTCATAATTCTCTTTAAAAAACTCTGCAATATTTTATTCAAAGATGACATTTAAAAGCCAGAGTAAGCTGAAACATTTTGGCAGGGACTGAGTTCATTTGAATAAGGAAAAACTACCCACCAGTAATGCATTTAATTTCAATACTAGCTCTTCATAGGCACTGATCTCACGAATATAATGCCCAACATCTATGAAGCTTTCAAACAAGTCTGTAGGAAAGAGCCTATAAAAATATAAATGTAAATACTTATGGACTACTGAGTCAGCTTTATACCCAATTTCATTTCTCACATTTTTAAAACAAATTGCTTTTATAATTTGTGTCTAACAAATGTAGTAAGGGCAAAATAATCCTACAAAGAGGCTTTACCCGTGTGAGTAACACATCACATCTTTCTTACTAAAGGAAAGTTGGTTCAATCCTTTTCCTTCATAAAATTCCATATTTATTTGAAAGAAAGGCTTTTATTAATTTAAGACAAATCTGCCCCATGGACACAAATAAAAAGAAAAATTAAAATTAGAAATTCTTTATAATGCCCAGCTTCCCTACCTTGTCAATCTAGGTTACTAACGCCATTTGACACAATGCAGGAAATCCCCTCTGCCCCACCAAAATGTTTAGTGTTTATGTGTCTGTACAGATAGACAAATAGCAAATTTAGAAATGAGTAGGTCAAAAAGAGAGTGCAGTACAATCTGAATTATTATTGATTAAAACTAATTTACTACCAGTAAAATAAGTCCCCTTTTTGTAAAATTAATTTATATGCAACTGCTATATACTTTATAATTTTCTCTCAAATTACATACACATGGCAAGCAAAAGAAAAGGAGAATTAGGGGAGGGGATATGTGATAGAAATATGAGTTGCATTTTGAAGGAAAGAGAAGAACAAAACCTGATGGAGACAAAAGCAAAGGAAGCAGACAGACAGTGCAAAAGAAGGAAGGAAACACAACAATGATTTTGATGAGCTCAACAAAATCAATTTTATCCATTCATATTTTGTAGTAAATCTCATCAAATGTAATAACCCTTACTCTCGTGTAAGTCCTGTTTAATCTTTAAGAAATTCTGCAGCAATTCTGTTCTAGCCAAAATAAAGCAAGATTAAAGTATGCTAGCTTGATTCTTTCACTTGATTCCTCCATATGTATAAGCTAGGAAATCTGCTATGATGCTAGAGAAGGGAAAAAGTTGCCATCATCTGTTCCGTGCCACTGAATATGAGAGCTCTAAAAAAAATCACTCTGCATGTTTCACATTTTTGATGACTCTGAAATGAATTCAATGAATAACTAAGCAGTAAAAATTTGGTTGACTGCAAAAAGATACATAAAACTAAACCTCTGCTTCCATCTAGCAGTTGTTCTGATTCTTGCATCCCAGAATGAATATATAATGAAACTAAGAACAAATGGAGATCAAATATTTGAAAACTAGCAGCATATGAATAACCCTGACCTTATGAAGAATATCTATCATGCATCCACTTACAAGCAAAATAAATATACGGTTTGGGATTATTAGTGTTTCCTAAAGCCATGTTATGGAGCACAGATTTCTTTTTCTTAATTGAGTTTGGAGAAACACTTCAAATGATGTACATATTGTTTTTGAACAATTCCCACAAAAACAGTGCAAGTGCAGTTAATCATTTCTTGTGAGATGTCATCCCTAGTTAATCAGTGTAATTAAGGGACAACAGGAATGGTTCGGTAATTATATCTGGACCACTCATTATAGCACAGTTCCAGTGCCTTCAGAAATCTTCTGTTATTAAAAATGGGAATATATTTTGCAATTTTATTCCTTTTGACTATATAGAGTTTGGAAACAGGTTTTTATTGGAAATCAGTGTTTTAAGCAAATTTCGACAGGTTTTATGTACACGCACACATTCTTACATACAATAAATCTAAGGTATGGTTCCTTACAATACATGTAAAGTATAATACCTTACATTTACTCAAAGGAAAATAATCTTGGAATATAACTTGTTTTCAGCATACCTTTTAAAAAGATGTCGATTCCTTTCCATGCTGAAAAGAAATCTCAGGGCTCTGAATGCGTAACACTAGAAAGAGAAAAATGCACAGAAACAATTCCATACAGGATTGGAAGCCACATTTGGTTTCTCTTGCCTAAAGTTTCAATGCCAATAACAAGCTAAAAGACTGAACAATTTTTAAATTAATAGAGTAAAATAGTGTAATAATAGAAGAATATTTATGAAACTATTACCAATTTGTTGTCTTTTCTAGTCTTATATATTCTTATTAACCTATAAAATTGATTACATTAAACTTATCAAACGGCCTCAGAAGGCATAGAGAGGGATGGAGAAAGGGACTTTTCTTGATTATTTTACTCTTTATTCAAAAACCAATAAAGAAATTCATAACAAACCACATTATTTCTGTTTCAAAACTGCAACTATTGGCAGTGAAAATCCATAAATAAATAAAAAAGATTACCTGTAATAAATTAGCCTTTGCTACATTCCTTTGTTTATTAGGTAAAAGCAGCTTTGCTATTGTATATACCCCATTCTCCTAAAAAGTACATATGGAGGAATAATATTTCAGAGAACACTCAAATATTTAGTAATAAAGAAGAATTCCTAATAGTCTGTCAGATTCACATGAGGAATTTATTGTCTATTGCAAAACTATCAGCAAAGACAGATACTGTTCATTTTGCAGCATGACCTGCAAGTTAAACAGGCTTTAGCTGACACATTTGCTCTTTAAGATACATTCTTATTCTCTATATAACTGTTAGCCATGCTGAGGCAGAAATCAATAGCACGCCTTCAGTAATTCAAATTACACGCAATGCTTAATTATAAAATGATTAAGTGGAAAATATAGGCCCTACAGTCCTTATATGAGTGGACAACAGAACATTTTAACCAATATTATTTGTCCACATAGTTACCAGAAGGTAAATTCAATTTACCCTCAGACTTCAGTTTTCACATGTTGTGTGAGACCAAGCAATCTTATTGTCTTCTCTTCAAACATCACCTCTTCCTGCTCAAATCTGATCTAGGCTATATTATTTATACCTTCTTAATATTTTCCATAAGAATATTCATTCCACCTCCTTTCTGTTTAACCTTATTCCTCTTCTTATATCTTCTCTATTTTAACTTCCTATGAAACATAGTATTTGAAAGTGAAATTTATGGCTCTTTTTTATCTCATGCAGGTAAAAACAGTATCAGCTGAGACATCTGCAGATATTTTGCATCCATAACGAATTGGGATAAAATACATTATATAAGTACAAATAAAAAGTTAACCTCAAACATATTTAAAGACTTCTCACCTGTACTACTTGATGGGCATTGGTGTCATTAAGGACCAATTCAGTAACTGCAGCACAACAGGCTAAAATAAATCACCAAAAAAAAAATATTTTACATTGCTCCTATATATGAAGATATTTATCAATTGTATGCTTCTTCAGTTTTAAAATAATATTTTAAATTATGCTACTAATCCTTTTACATTTTATAATTTATGTAATCTGGGAAACACTACAGACTGAGGAAAATAAAATGTCTGTGGCTCCATATCCACCTTGCTCTATAGGACAATCAATATGTAGATATCTGTAACAGAACCTATTGAAGTTAATTTTTAATTGATCCATCAATCTTTGATTACCATTTAATGCGTTGTTCAGGCACAAATAACTTCATTGATATAAATCATCACAGGACTACTGTACCTGCTTGAAGAGAAAATGTATTTTCTTGTATTTCATGAGGGCTTAACTCTTGTGATAAATGAAGCTGCTGGATTCTCCCAGCTACGTTTGCACTAGATAAACCCCCAATGGAAGAACGATCTAAAAACAGACTTCGTTCCCTAAAAAAGAACAAGAAACAGTCGGTATATATCTTTAAGGTGATTGGCAATTAAAATCTTGAATGCATATGTTCTGTGCATCCTTGTACATTATGAGTCAGTGTGAAGTAGTAGTTAACGATTGAATTAATAATAATAATAACAATAACATTGGAAGGGACCTTGGAGGTCATCATGTCCAACCCCCTGCTCAGGCAGGTAACCCTATACCATTTCAGACAAATGGCTGTCCAGTCTTTTCTTAAAAACTTCCAGTGTTGGAGCATTCACCGCTTCGGGAGGCAGGTTGTTCCACTGGTTAATTGTTCTGACTGTCAGGAAGTTTCTCCTTAGTTCTAGGTTGCTTCTCTCCTTCATTAGTTTCCATCTGTTGCTTCTTGTCCTGCCCTCAGGCGCTTTGGAAAATAGCTTCCCTCACTCTTCAGTTCCTGAGATATTGGAACACTGCTATCATGTCCCCCCTCGTCCTTCTCTTCGTTAAACTAGACATAGTCCATTCCAGCAACCCTTCCTTATATGTTTTAGCCTCCAGTCCCTTAATCATCTTTGCTGCTCTTCTCTGTACTCTTTCTAGAGTCTCAACATCTTTTTTACATCGTGGTGACCAAAACTGGATGCAGTATTCCAAGTGTGGCCTTACCAAGGCATTGTAAAGTAGTATTAATACTTCACATGATCTTGATTCTATCCCTCTGTTAATGCAGCCTAGCACTATGTTGGCTTTTTTGGCAGCTGCAGCACATTGCTGGCTCATATTTAAATGATTGTTCACTAGGACTCCGAGATCCCTCTCACAGTTACTATTATTGAGCAAGGTACCCCCTATAACAGTGATGGTGAACCTTTTAGAAGCTAAGTGCCCAAACTGCAACCCAAAACCCACTTATGCATCATCGAGTGCCGGGTGGGTGTGGCCTATTGGGTGGGCATGGCCACGGTGGTAACGGCAGACTGGGTGGGACTAAAAAGTTCAATCAATCAATTCCAACTTTGCAAGATCTTTTTTTTCCCCACGAGAAGTTGAAATTGACTGATTGAACCTTTTTTTTTTTTTTTTTGCACACGGTGGCGGAGGCCTAAAGCGAAAAGGTTTTATAAAATCCAGTTGAAGGCCTAGGACTGAGGCGACAGCATGCGTGTCCACAGAGAGGGCTCTGAGTACCGCCTCTGGCACCCGTACCATAGGTTCGCCACCACTGCCCTATAGTATACCTGTACATTTGGTTTTTCTTGCCTAAATGTAGAACCTTACTTTTTTCACCATTGAATTTTATTTTGTTAGATAGTGCTCAGTGTTCAAGTCTGGCAAGACCATGGTTCAAGTTCCTAGTCAGCTATGAAAGCTCATAGGGAGAGTTAGGGCCAGAGAGGGCAGCTTAACAAGGTTAGTCATCCCTGCATGAATGGGAAAGGCAAGAAACAGAAGAATGACCTATAAGAGCCTGGAGTTGCTGTAGTTGGGCTGAGTACTAATCTGGAGCCCTTGCCAATCCACCACAATCTGAACGTTAAATTTTTAAAGTTAATTTCAGAAATAGGCAGGAGCAGCACACATGAGGCAAGTAGCTTAATCCATCATGGGAATTATCCTAAAAATCCTTCTCCAAAGCAAGACAAACCATGGAATCCATGGGATTGTAAGCCTCTCCCAAACAGACATCATGAGTTAAGAACAGCAATTCTAAAGAACCATACACCATGGACATAAGTTCATAACAGGCCCTTTAGCCAAATAAGTGAGATATAACTAGAAGGGATTAACTTACAACCACACTTTTAGAAAGATATCTGGCAATCCTGTGCAATAATAATCATGCTGAACAAAAAATATAAAAAACTGAAGTTGTGAAAGGCAATAGAGAACTGAAGAATTAAGTGGTAATCTTGTACTTAAAATGAAAACTGAATACTGAGGTGGAACTCTCACCAAGAAATTTATCTTTGGAACCAAATAGGCTACTGTGCAACCTCAGAATCAGTATGTGAATCAGACAGAGCCAATGAGGAAACCATATTCCAGGTAAATTTGGGCAAATAAGGAAAGGTAGACAATAGTATCATTCTGGTTGATTCTATGTATCACTTCTTCAACATTGCTGAACACCAGGGACTGGTGTATCATCATCTAAAATGAATGGTCCAGGAATTTAATTGCCAATAGAGGAATTGAATAAAATATATATGACAAGTCCCAATATAGCAGTGGTTCTCAACCTTTCTAATGCCGTGACCCCATAATACAGTTCCCCATGTTGTGGTGACCCCCAACCACTTATACATCACCGGGTGCCAGGGGCGTGGCCAAAGAAAAGGGGAAAAAATGGCGGACAGCCTTGTTTGGCAACCCCCGTGAAATGGTCATTTGACCCCAAATGGGGTCCCGACCCACAGGTTGAGAACCACTGCAATATAGGATTAAATTGGTCAGATACTGCCTCCTATTGGTGTGTATAAATAATGAACACTCTGTACTGATTTATTTAATAAGTTCTAGTACATTAATTTTTTCTTCCCAAAGGAATTGCTATATTGATACTTTATGAAAGTTATACCTGTATTTTTATAACCTGAGTCTCAGAAAACCTTTCTATAAAACAATATAAAACAAAGCCAAACTGGTATGTTAATAGGAATTGATTTTCACATGAAATCAAGCTAAATGCATTGAGAAAAAGTTGTTTGGAGGTTTGTACATGAGTATACACATTCTCTCTGCCCTTACTATAGATAAATTCAGATACCTACCCTTGCAAAATATGAAGGAGCTGTTTGATTCCACCCCAAATTCGAATTTCAACACTGGTATCAGGATCTTCGCAAATCTGTACAAGAATCCAAACTACACTCCAAAGTAGTTTCAGATGATCAGAATGGAGCAGACTAAGCAGAATAGGGACCCCCTCATAGAACTTGATTTGTTCCTTGACTTGTGATTCCACACAAAGGAGGCGGAGTAATTCTGCTGTTAATCTGCAAAGAAACCAGCAAACATTCATAATTCAATAGTTATAGTTAGCATGCTTGTTAAATTATATAAATACTCAAATTTGGCCTTCTTTCTCATGTAACATAAAGAGACTGATACGTTTTTAGTTAGCATCCTAAGAGTGGGAGTCACACTTAACTTGGGAGGATATTGTTCAAGAGGGCACGTATTGCAACACAGTAAACTAGATTCTGTGTCTCATAAGATGATACTATTTAATTGATGGAATTAAGAGAACCCCCACCCTGCTTGAATGTATTAGATGAGAAGAAAATGCTGGAGGTAAGTGGTTTCCCAAATAGCCAGCTCTATATCATGAAGAATTTAAAAAGTAATAACCAGCACCATGAATTGCATCCAGAAACCACTGGCAATTAATAAAACTTGATCTTTCTCCAGAGGCCTTGGGAAGGGTGATTATGGACTCCCCTTTAATTACATTTGGTTTTACAACTAAGCATATTGTTCTTCTAATCAGTCAAAATTTCTTTTTATATGTACTATTTTTTATTTGTAAGCCACATACCTAAGGAGTTAGGTAGCTCATAATCGGATGGATGGATAGATGGATGGATGTATATAAGGTGACCAACTTTTTTACAACAAAAAGGACACGAATAAATTGAAGAAAAAAATATCGTAAATAAAAGAAACATTGTATTTATTGCAACAATAATACAGAATACACTATAATATGATCAATACATAATAAAAACATTTGTAACAATAACATTTTATATTATAATTATGCTTACATGCCTATTAATTATTTAAATGAGTACTTTTCCATTGAATGAATATTTTTTGTCAATGTATCATCTTCTAACAATATGTTGGAAATATCTGAACAAGAAATATCCTTCATATTGAATTTTACGGACAGTGCTGCAGCTAGAGTATCAACATTCAATCTCGATTTCTCACTTGTCCAAAAATCTACACGGCTGGACTGCGCAGGGGTGGGCAGTGGAGGCAGGTGTTGTGAGCCAGGCGCTCCAGGATGGTCACGTAGATGCGCAGGGTGAAGTGGTGGCAGCGCAGGTCAGCACTGCGTAGACCACCAGCTGGTGCGGCCCATGGAAGGTCAACTGCCCGCTGCGCCCCCGCCCACAGCTGCCCCGCCAGCACCGCTGCCCTGCCGTGGAGAGCCGGCCCCGCAGCTCGCAAAGCACCAACCGAGCCAGCTCCGGCCATGAGCCGCCCCCCAGCACCACCGCCCACCCTGCGCATCCCCACAGAGCCGGCCCCACGGCTCGCAAAGGCAAAGCACCAGCCATGCCAGCTCCGGCCCTGCAGCCGCCGCCCCCCAGCTGCCCCCCAGCACCCCCGCCCACCCTGCGCATCCCCGTAGAGCCGGCCCCACGGCTCGCAAAGGCAAAGCACCAGCTGCTCCGGCTCCAGCCCTGCAGCTGTCCCCCCAGCCACCCCCAGCACCACTGCCCACCCTGCGCCTCCCCGTAGAGCCGGCCCCGCGGCTCGCAAAGCACCAGCCGCACTGGCTCTGGCCCTGCAGCCACCCCCCAGCACCACCGCCTACCCTGTGCATCCCCGTGTAGAACTGAACAGGGAAGATCAAGAGAAACTTACCACTCCAGTCTCCTCCAGCTATCTATGGAACTAAGTAAGAGATGGTGTAGTTGGGTAGCAGTGAGGGGTGCAAAGTTCCTGCAGCTTGCACGTGCAAAGTTTGCCGCCTGGGTGTTTTGGCGTGCTCAACAACAATTCCTATTGGCTTTCGAAAGCCAATAGTGGGAGTAGCACAGCTCAGGCAAAAGTTGAAAAAAACCATCAAAAAAAGGTCCCGGAACGCCTTCTGGGCGTTCTATGAGGAAAAAAATGCCCTGAAGATTAGTCTTCAAATATAGAAAAAGAGGACATTTAGGAGGACATTTTCGAGGGAGGACAGAACTCCCAAAAGGAGGACTGTCCTCTCAAAAGGAGGACGGTATATGGAAAAAGAGGACATTTAAGAGGACACTTTTCGAGGGAGGACAGAACTCCCAAAAGGAGGACTGTCCTCTCAAAAGGAGGACGGTATATGGAAAAAGAGGACATTTAAGAGGACACTTTTTGAGGGAGGACAGAACTCAAAAAAGGAGGACTGTCCTCCCAAAAGGAGGATGGTTGGTCACCTTAATGTATATAAATAGGTATATATAAGAGAGACGGGGGGAAATAGAGATTCCATCTATCTATTTCGCTAATATTAATAATTTTCAACTTATGATCACAATTGGGCCCATAATTTCTGTTGTTAAACAAAGCAGTTGTTAAGCAAGTTGTGCCTGGTTTTACAACTTTTTGCCACAGTTGTTAAATGAATCACATAGTTGTTAAGCAAATCCAGCTTTATCCATTGAGTTGGGACAGCAACCATTGTAAATACATGCCAATTACCAAGCAGCTGAATTTTGATGTGACCGTGGGGATGCTGCAATGGTTGTATGAGTATAAGTTATAAATCATGTTTTTCAGAGCCATTATAATTCAGAATGGTCACTAAATGTAAATTGAGGACTACCTGTAAAGAAATAAATCTAAAAATTACTACTTTAAATTAACCTATTCTTCAAATAGCCAGTTCAGTAACTGCTTGTTATAATGGTCAACTGAAACAACTCTAAGCTGTTTTAAGCACTGATATAATCAGAAGCATCCACAGGAATGGAGGCTCTTGTTGAATTGATAAAAGGAGTGTCAGGAAGTCATGTTTTGTATATCTGTGCAGTATCACAATTCATGTACAAAAAAAGCAGCAACACAGAATGCGGCTTTTGTGATTTCCTTCCTGTTTCCTGCACATGCTTGTAATTATCACAGAACACATAATCCAGAAGACACTGTATCAGAGTGACGGGAGTGCCTGCCTTTCTATTTCTAAGAGAGATAAATCTTTCTGATAGCATGAATCTCTAACATTAAAAAGGAAGGCCTTAAAGCAGGGCATAGCAAGGGATGACTTGGGTAGAACCAAGGATCCCCTTAAACTGATGGTACTTAAGCTAATCTTTGAGTTCATCTAATTGTAATTCTTTTCCATTATTTCTAAGATTGACTATTATTATTATGATTTTCAGGTTCTTATTTACAGTAAAGACATTCAAATGTGTGCTGAGGAAAGGTAGAAACAGCATCAGAAACCTTTGATAGGATTTCAAGGGCAGCCCTCATATAAAGGATATTGCAGTAATCCAGACGGGAAGTCAGAGGGGTTTGAGTGACTATGAGAAGAACCTCCAGTAAGAATGAAAGCAACCAATGCAAATCCAAAGGTGAGAATAGGCCTTTCTTTCCATGGTTGCTACCTGCTCTTCTAGCAAGAACCATGAGTCCAAGAGGATCCCATATTGCAACAGAGTCTGGTTCCACCTAATCCAGGAAAAACAATATCAGCAAAAGTCCAAAATACACAAAGCCATCCAGGCCTGCTTAGATTGAGTCGAAGGTCCTTTGCCCCATTCAGGTCCCTATAGCTCTAGGCACTGGGACGAGAAATCTACAGCAAACGTCTATGGAGATTCTCAATCATCCAGGTCACAGTTGTCCGAAAGGTGTTTTTTCAAGGAAAACCCCAAGAAACCCAGTTTCCTTTTGAAAAGCACCTTTGAGATATCTACAGCAGCACTCAAGCACCTTAGTTTGGAGAGCTAAAGTTGCATATCATTTACATATTGATGACACCATATTCCAAACTGTTGGATCACTTCACCCAGTGACCTCATGTAGATATTAAATAAGAGAGAAGAGAGACTGAGTTCTTGGCACCACAGGAAGTAGGCAATATGGATTGGACCTCTGTCCTCTTATCAACACTGATAGAAACCAACCCTAGAAGAAGGAGAACCAGTACAGCATATTACAACCCACCCCTAACTCCCAAAGCTGGTCCACAAAGTACCATGATTGATGATACTGAAGGGCACTGAGAGGTCATGAAAACATATGAGATTCATTATCCCATCCTGTTCCCACCAAAGAGCACATCAAACGGAGTCTCAATTCTATAAATATCCTGAATCATGACTGAAAGGATCCAAATAATCTGCTTCATCCAGGGTCCCTTGAAGCTGCCATGTGACAACTCTCTCCATAACCTTCCATAAAAAAGGACAAGTTGGAGATTAGATGAAAACTACTCAGATTAGCTGGGTTTAGTGATGGCATCTTGAGAAGAGGGCATTCCACCACTTCCTTTAAAGCTGGTAGCATTACACATTCCCTCAAACAATTAGCCACTACCCAGACCCAATCACGCATCCTCTCCCAGGAAGCCTTGACCAATCACAAGGAGTGTGGAATTAACACAACCAAACTAGCAGCAACTAGTAGCAACAATCCTTCTGCACCTTGAATAGGATCAAAGTTCCCCAGATAATTGCACAATTCAGCCCCTATAACTTCTACTGGTTCTGTCCAAAGGCTGGAATCCAATGTAGAGAGATTATGAGATGTGCAGGACAATCCTCACAACAACCCTATAAATGGATCCCAGGATAATCTTTCCAAGAAGGGACAGGTTCACCTGAAATAACAATGCTGGGCAGTTATATTGCAGATGCTATAATAGATAAGGAAATAATAATATTTTATCACTTTTACCATTATGAAGTAGGCTCCAATAGTAGCTTTAGATCCAGTTTATTGTTTTACTCCTTGTTCTTTGCCAGTTGCATCCTAAGCATCTTTAACCCTCTTTAGATCCCTTAACTCTTCTATATAGCAGAGAATTCTATTAATCATGAGTTCGGAGAGGCTGCTTAGGTGCAATTTGGTCCAAAGCCAGGACCACTCTCCCATTCTAAGCAGCTATCAAGGCTTCAGCAGGACTATATAGCAGACATTCCAGAACAATCCCAAGCTCTATCTGACAATCAAGTCCATTTGTCTTCTGGGGTAGACCAATCTAATAGGCCCAGTCTCCCTGCAGAGGAGAGTTGCTCCAGAGAAATGGAGGCATAACGAGAATGATAGGAGAGAAACCAACATTTTCCCCAAATCCAGAGCACTCTGCTGCTGCTCTGACTTAAAAAGCAGATGAATAACCACTATAATATTGGGCCCTGGGTGACTTAGAACAGTCCTGTGATTATTATGGTGACCATAAACTCCTCAGCTATCTCAGACTTCATGCCCAGAGAAGGCAAGTTGAAGTCCCCCCAAGCCCATAAACTTGAGGAACTCTGCTGCCAAGACAGCCACAGAGTCAAGAAGCTCAGGCAGGTTACTGCGCAATATATACAACAGTAGCAGTTCCAACTGATGCTATTAGCATTCATCTTAACAAAAAGGTTTCTTGTGCAATAATCTGAGGGGAGTTCCCCTGAACTAAATGACTCCCAAGTATCTGGGATGACCACTGCCACTACCCTGGGGTTTTGGCTGATGTCACACCTGGAACACAGCTGGAAACCTCAGAAACTGGAATGTGCCTCTCCTATCCGAGCTAGGTCTTGGAAATGAACACCAAGTTGACCTTTTCATCAACAATCAAGTTGGTGTTCATCAGCAGCACCAACAATCCAAGGCCATTCAAGGTTTGCCATCCAAGGGATTGGAACCAAAATATTTTATTTACTACATTGGGGTTCTAACATTCAGTTAGGAGCTTACAGCATTGCATTTAGTATTCCTTCCTTCTATTTTTTTCTCATAACAATCCTCTGAAATTTTGGGGGTTAAAAAGAGGAACTAGTCCCAGATTACTCAGTGCATTGCCAGGGCAAATGGCATATTTGAAACCAGATCTTCGCATTACCAGTTTAATTCAGTCACTTTCAGGGTTAATATTTCCACTAAATACTTCCACTAAGTAAGGTATACTATATCTCACTAAAATGTCAGATTTGGGGATTTCCCTCATGTTATACTTCAAAGGTTTTAAGTAAATAACTTCAGAAATAGAATAATTTGAATGTATATTAGCTAAATATCTGGAAAACAACAACACAAAAGTAAACTGAAATATGAAACTGACATATCCTACCTTTTAGAAAGCAAATCATATTCGTGCAATATCATCAATAAATTTTCGACAACGTTCAGCTCACTTATTTTCTCACGACATTCAGGGCTACAATAAAAACATTAGGGAGATTATTTTTGAAAACTGAACTGAATTTGAATATCATCCTAAATATGTTAGTGAGTGTATGTTTTCTGAGGTTTCAGAGTCAATAATATATAACTTGCTTTTCTTTAGAGAAATGAAATCTTGGAGTCACTGAATCCCAACTTCAACAATTTTCACGCTATTTTCTGGGTTGGTATGAGTGGAATTGAGAAAACTACATGCTATCTAATTCTGGAGCAGCTTCTCCATACATGACCTTGCAATTTATATGCGCTGAATCTCTAGTATGATTAAAACTGGAATCCTGGTCATGGGTATAGCCCATAATTTAAATGTTTCAGAAAGCAGATTGCATTATGTCTCTGATACTACTACAGAAATCAAGAAACACAAGAGAGTTGATAGAGCATACCTAGTAATAATAGCCTCCCCCTTTTAAAAGCAAATGATTAAAATACAGACACCAGTGGCCTTTAAGCATGGATCATTGGCTGTGACCACCTGCACTAGCTGAAAGACAAGGTAGTTAATCCAGAAGTTGGCTTGACTAGCACTTCAATTTTACTTCAAACTAGTAATAAGACACTAGTTTAAGAAGCTATGAAATGGTTATTGTCTGTCTGTCTGTCTGTCTATCTATCTGTCTCTCTCTCTCTCTTTCATTTTTTCTTTTATTAAATAAAATACTTTATTTTTTTTTTATTTTTCAAACAATTTTTACCAACTCTATCCCCTCTGAATCATAAAGATCTGCCCAGGTCTGTTCTTTAAACTTTGTAAGTCTTGAAGCAATATGAATTGTGTATCGAATAAAAGCAATATATACCAGGCATCTATCTGTTATTAAACTATGGGAGAAAATTGTGGCTTATTTTATATTAAAATCAATTTTGCAGGTTCCACTTTTTACCTCGTATTCTGTTAGAAGATGAACTTATAACAGCAATGATCTGTTATTAAAGACTGTTATTTTTTTCTCAGTGGTAACCTAAGATATCTTGATTTAAGATAGCTATATTTAGCTTTCATTTATTTTAAATATAGATACTTTAATTCAGATTTTCTCAATCTTTCTATTTTATTATTCTACCATCTTACTAATGGTAAGTAGAAATAAGTCTGGCTTCAATCTCATGAGATGAGTAAATTGTATATCTATACATAGCTAAAATATTTAAAAGATAAACACATGGGTGATTTGAAACAGCAGTACTTGATGGTAACACAATTTTTCAAGCCCTATTACATATAGTCCTTAACTTATAACTAAAGCACTTCCAGCCATTATAAAATGTTGTACCAGTCCCTGCAGTCACATGATTCTATTTTGCGTGCTTGGTTATTGTTGTGATCATAATTTGCCATGTTTTTATGCTAGTTTGTTATAGTTGTAATCAGTTTTCAGTGATTTTGCTGCTTTTCTGAAAAATGTCCATTTGGGAGAGTAGATTCAGACTTACAATCATGTAATTTGCTTAACAACCACATAATTCAGACATATTGCTGCATGATTTGTTTAACGGCTGCCATAAAAAATAGCCATTAAATTGAGTCCAGTCAAATGTTTGCCTTGACTTACAACTGTCACAATCTACAACTGAAATTCCGTTCCCAAAGCTTCATAAACTGAGGATATCTGTATTCTACTTACACAGCGTAGTGAGACTAAGACAAATAAGTAAGTAAATAAACAAACAAATGCCCCTGACAATAGCCTACAGTAGTTCAATCATGCATCTTAATAAAGTAATTCTAATTTGTTTCAAATAAGCTGATGTATATTAGAACAAAAAAGAGATACTAGATTCCCTAGCATTATCTACCAATTTATTCATACATTTGAAGTATGACAAAAGTACATACTTAGTATAGTCTATCCCCCTCACTCCACTATAGTAATATTATGCGTAGTGCAGAAATGGAGTTAGAAATAAAAATCCAAAGAAAAGGCAGAGTGAACCAGTAATATTTAATAGCATATACACCAAACAATTTTCTATACCTTTCCAACTTTTTACTCTTCAAGTCATCTGTGATTCTACCACATTTTCCACTACTTCATATATTATCTTTCATTCTTTAAAAGTGCCCTCTCTCTGTTCTCTCAGGAACTAGCAACTTCATCTAACTACAACTTGTTCTTTTTGACCCATTCGCTTTTCTTTCATTTATTCATTTTGCAATTCAGTCCTCATTTCATTGTCCCTACAGGTAATCCTTGACTTAAGACCTTAATGGAAACTGCAGTTTCTATCATAAGTTGTGATGGTCATAAGTCAAGACACCTATGTAATTGACCTGATTCTATTGGTTTATTTGCAGCAGTCATTAAGCAAAAGGAGTGGTCATTATGTGAATGCAATATTATTAGGTAAATGCTGCAGTAATGAAACAATTCCATGTATTCCTATGGCCATTTTTTGCTAGAAACTGTCCAAAAAGACCAGAAATCAGCACAAATCACAGCAAATAACAGAAAGGTAAATCAATTGCCAAGCACCCAAGCAGTTATGTGACTATGTGGGTATATATGCAACTGTCAGAAGTCTAGAATCAGGTCACAGGTAGCTTTTAAGGGGTTTGTTATAACTCTGACAAGTCGCTAAGTGTCTGTTAAGTTTGGATTACCTGTATACAATCAAACTATCTTAACATACTTTAGACATTCAATTTTGAATTCAATCCAAATTCATTCATCTCAATTTCATTCTTTACTCTTCCCCTTATTTTACTTACTATATTTAATTGACAAAAATTTTAAATACATACAGTATCTGAACTAAAATCAAATTAAGAAAATATTGTCATAAGACATATGAATAAACATCTTACTGTAGATTCTTTGATGTGTAACTGAATATATAAATTATCCCCACAGGAAAGAATATTTGGTATGACATGAAAATTGCTTGTTACAGTTTCATACTTGAAAATTTTCATTTGATGTTGCAATCAACAATCAATATAATGTATTTATTTAAGCATTAATTCACTTGATTACATAAATAAAAGTGCACTTGCAGTCATTTCTATAAAAGTCTAGCCATGTAAATATATGTATACATATATATGCAAGCTGTTTTGTGTGCATTTGTCTGCATATATTTATATATCCAGGCAAGTTAGTGTCTGGAAGTACAACATGGCACCTGACACAGTCCCCAGAGGACAAACATGCCTCAATTAGAACATCAGAAATAAACACAAAAGAAAAAATCTTTTGTTTTAAATTTATTTGTCATAATCATTAAAAGTAAGATGTCATGACAAATGAAAGAGATAACACAAAGCCATGAAACTGAAGCTTACCTTTCTGCCAAGCTAGTGAGAGCAAGCAATGAACCTACAAGCACATTATTTTCTCTAGTTCCTAGTAAATTAATTAAAGTCTGCAAAATCAAGAAGGAAAAAAGTTGAAAATGTTAATCTAGAAGCTACAATGAACATTTGCATACTTCTTACAGAATAGCATTAGAAACTGAAAAAGTTCTAAAATAATCTAGCAAACTAATTTCGGTATTTCAAGAAGTAAACCCAAGCCTCTATATTACTTTGAGTCATATTAGAAAGAGGAAAGAATACATTTCCCACACACGTAAGTAACAAACAGGGTATAAAACTGAGAATTATCATCAGGCTTGGTTCATGCTTAAATAAAACAGTATCAGATCTTCCTCCTATTATATGCTGAGATGTGTTTGTTTGTTTAGCTAAGAAGTACATGATCTTGATGGAAGGATGGCTTACTCTTTCCCAAGCACATGTCCATATGCTTCTGCTTGTACTTCAGTGCCCTCCTGAAGCTGAAATAATCCAAAGATGCTTCAGTTGCTATGCTCTGGAAGTGGCATTTCCAGCTGGGTGGATGTCGCTTAAGGGGTATCTTCCCTTCTAAGTATTGCCCTCAGCCATAAAAAGTAGAATGTAAGAGTAAGAATGAATACAACCACTTCATCTACTGTATATGGTAAAGTATACAAAGCATATAAATCATCCTGGAACAGAGACAGAAGACATGGAAAGTAGCTCTGACTGAATGTAATAGAAATCTGGCTTGTAATAATTCTGTATCAGTGATGCTGTTAGTCCCTCAAGGTAGATCAAATCAAGAAACAGATGCAACATATTTGACAAATCTGGATTTTGTGCTTGTAATGGAAAAATTAAACTTTGATTTTGGTTTTGAGGATTAGATAGGTTTGTTATAGAAATGGCTAGTACATATTACTGTGTAAAAGTAAAAACTTGAGGTTGTAATGTTATCTTCTACTGTGCTAAAAAGTAGGACCGATAGTGAAAAGGCAGTATATTTCATTCCAAATGTTGAATGATTTCTTCACCTTACTGAGAACTTACGTAAACAATAAAAGATGATATTATTATACCTTATATCAAAGCCTGACAGAGATTTTCTTTCTTCCCCTCTTATATAAAAGAGAATCAAGATGAAGCTATATTTTTTTCTTTATTTCTTTCTATCAATCTGGGCTAGGCTGATGTTTACATAAGTCACTGAATTCCTTCTTCAAATAAATCTCTGTACTTCTTTACATTATTACAACATTAGCCCCCTTCTCTAGAGCAGCTATTTTTGAAATAAGTTTCCATGCAGCAGTATTGTCAATATCATGTGAGATGCATATGTGCTTCTTTCAGACTTGATTTTTGCCAATTTTTTAATATGCTCCAGTGATTTACTGTTAATTTCCACTACAAATAGATCAATAAAATGAATAAATTTTCCTAATCCTAATTTAGTAGTACAGTAATTTTCACAAATGAAGGTAAATATATGTGTCCCAGGATAATGTTGCAAGATCCAATCTGGGATGGTAAACAGGACCAGAGGTTTACTCTTCTGAGCTTTCAGGCTCGTGCTGGAGCCCATCCTCAGGGAACTTCTGAACTACTGGAATATGTGCTTTGAGCTACTCTATGAATCGTATTTATGTGGTACCTTTCTATTGGTTGATTGGTGTGTTGATGGCCAGCAATTGGCTGTTGTTTCCTTGCACGCCAAGTCCTCAGCTCCTAAGCACGATAAGCTGGTGATCAATCAGCACTCATATTGATTGATAAGGAGCCCATTTCCCAGGCTTCAATCATTTCCCTGACTATCTTTGTACCTGCACCACCAATAATCTTAGTAGCTGCAAAATTGAATGTTTGCCCCTGTTCATTGCAATGTGAGGCTACTAATGAGTTTGGGTCTCTTCATCTGATTGTTTACTTGTGTTCTTGCAATCTGGTAGTTAGCTTCCTCCCCATGTTTTACATAATCACAGGGACAATCCGTGCAGATTACATTAGAAGTATCTGCCACATCCAAGCAATTATTGCAATGCATGATTTGTCCTCATATTGTAGCCTCTGGGCAATGTGTGATGCCCACTTGCAGATCTCAGAAGCTGTTCTACAGTTTACAAAATGTTTTTTAATATGTGTGCCATATAGTTGATCTTGTACCTTCTTTCTTCTTTTCTCTTCTTTGTGTGCTTGATTTGTTCATGTAGGTACCTTCAGCCCAGTTGCTTAGCTTGCTGGGTACTCCAGTGGGTTCTCACCCTGCCACATAGTGTGCCAGCCATTTAGACAAACATCAGAGATCAAAATGATGGTCACATAGTACTTTTCATTTGATCCTATTTTTAATCTAAAAACAAAACAATAAATTTTAAAGAAACTGATTAGTTTCATTTCATTAATTCATTTACCTTATGTGCTCCACTGGCTGTAACCCATTCTCTTTGATCTTTAACAGCTGAAAGTTTCTGAATAATATCTGTGAATTAAAGAAACTGAATAAAATATATGCCTCTCATATAAAATTCTTAATTTGAATAATTTTGAAGAAAAAAGTTCATGGTATATATACAAAATAGCAATCTGTTTCAGAACTTAATAGATTCTGAGACATGATTTTGAAGATTCAGTGTAAGACTTAAGATTCTAAATGAGATGTCTGCAGGAATGAGGATGTTTAAAAAATCAAATTGAACATAACCCTGTAAGAACCTGCCAATTTTAACACAAATTAGAGCATTTTTAAAAAATGGATAGAAATTTAATCACATTGGTGCAGTTCTTTTTTGACCCTCCCCTGTGGCTATCCTTCAAATACATTAAATCAAATAGTGAAGTATGTTAAGCCATGTTTAAATTAGTGTGAGCTCATTATTCCTGACTAAGTGAAAGTCTATGATTTTATTGGGTTAAATTGAAGCAGGTTTAACTTTGGTATTCCTTTAAGATTTGCAATGGCATTTGTTTATTTAGTGTTACTTGCTGTGTTAGAGCAACTGCAATATCAGAAATCTTAGTTTTATTTCAACTAACATTCAAACTTTCTATTTTACAACTTTACTACTTCATTTTATTGGGAGTTATTTACTTAAAACTTACATATCATGTTGACTAATTTGTCTATATTATGTTGCTCCTCTCCATAACCAAGATAATCATTTGTTACTGTTTCCATATACTGAAATGATAAAACAATTAAAATATATTACCAAGAGATTATGATAACATAATACATTTATAAAAAAATACCATCTTCTTCCAGGAAATAATATAGTTATAGCAGTCGTAGTTTCCTTAACCATACACAGAGTACAAATTAATACCAACTTATATTATACCAAATAATAGAAGGGATTGAGCATTTTGACCTGTGGATAGTTTGGCATTTTTTTAATTTCTTCTTCATTGTTTAATGGAATATAGTCCTGGGGATAGGAAAGGGATGATCAAATAATTAAAGGAGTTTCATAAAAGATAACTCAGAGACTTTCCAGTTTGATGTTAGCTTTTTAAGGTAAGTGAGGTTCAAAAAGAGGAACAGCAGGATTTCAGAAATGTTTCTTTATTGTTGGTGGGTATCAAACAGAATCTTGAAAGCCTTTCAGAATTTTATACCATTTTATACTATTACATTTTATATCAAACAAAATTCCCTTTAACAATTCATTCATCCCTTTCCCATTTCCAGTTCTACATTTAGATTTTATCAATATTTTCATCTTTGCTTATCTCAATTTTTTTTATTATCTCAAAAGCGGAACAGCCTTTGTTTAATGGTCCTTTGAAAACAGAAATTTATTTATTTATTTGTTTGTTTGTGTTAGTAAATGTATTTGCTGTCTATTTCACCGTGGGGCTACTCTTTTGAAGACAATGTATAAAAAACAATCATTTATTTTTTTGAAAAAACTTTACCTGTGCTAAACTGTCAATTCCACCTAGATTGTGAAGAACTTCCTAAAGAAGAGAAAACAAAGGTAAGTATGTCAAATGTATTTCCAATTATATGTACTATTTTATCAGGTTGAGCAGGAAATATATATCTGTCCTGCCAATTAAAGAGTTCAATTTGGCAGGACCCAGACAGCATGCCTTTATTGCTCTGGCCCCTGCCCTCTGGAACATCATTTCTCCTGAGATGAAATTGATCTCATTCCTATTTGCTCTCTGAAAAGTCCCTAAAACATGTTTTTTTCCCACCAGCCTTGGGGATCCCATGATGAACATGCATGATGGCTCTGTGATGTCAAGTGACTGTTGTTCTGCATTTTTGGGTTTTGTCATGGATTATGACTCAGACACTGACTTTTACTTCAAAGAAATTACTCGAGCATAATCTGTGGAGTGTGAGCGTCAGAAGATGCAAAGCCAAGGAGCAGTTAAATAATAATGATATGGGTCCTTCATGCCCCAGCACCCAACCAGTACAGAAAAGAGGAGATCAGAGACATTCCATCAAGTGTCTTGCCAAGAAGGCAGTAAATATCTTGATAATGGCAATTGGCTGCAGCCTGATTTAAGAGGCAGTTCTGCAGGAAACAAACATCTCATCTATGGCTCTTTATAACATTTCTATGATTCTGTCTGTGAAATTATGACCTTTGGATTGGTTGACAACCATGACCTAGCTCTTAGAATCTTAGACTATTTCTTACTATTCTCTTACATCACCATCACCGTCGTCATTATCAGTTGGAAGAGGCTTTGTAGATCTTCTAGTCCAAACCCCTGCACCACAGAGCCTATACCATTTTGGATAAATGGATGTCCATTATCTTCTTAAAAGCCCCCAGTGATGAAGCACCCACAACTTCTGTAGGTAAACCATTCCACTGGTTGATTGTTCTCATTGTCAAGAAATTTCTCCTTAGTTCTAGGTTGGTTCACTCCTTGATTAATTTCCATCCGTTGTTTCTCATCTTGCCTTCTGATGATCTGGAACCTGTACACTTGGTTTTTCTTCCCTAAGTGCAAAATTTTCCTTTTCTCTACACTGAATTTATTTTGTTAGATAGGACATGTGTTCAAGTTTGTCAAGATCCATCTGGATCCTGGGCCTATCTTTTGGGATGTTGGCTATTCCTACCAATTTGGCATCATCTACGAAATTAATGAGTTCCTCTTCTATTCCCTCATCTAAATCATTTATGAATATGTTGAAGAATACTGGATCTAAAACAGAATCTTGGGATGACTCCCTGCTTACATGTCTCCATGTAGAAGCAATGTAATTCCATTAAGCATTATATATTGAGTGCGGTTTGTCAGTCAGTTATAAATCCATCTGATGGTGATGCTGTCTATCCCACATTTTTCCAGCTTATCAAGAAGTAGGTTGTGCTCCACTTTGTCAAATGTCTTACCGAAATCCAAGTATACTCCTGTTACCAGCTCCTATTAGCACTAAACCATTTAGGCAAGTGTCTGTCACATACTGTTTTAGTTTACATACCTTGACTGTTGTTATTTCTTTGATCTTTAGTAAACTGAACTCATCTGGCTCTTCTTGACCTCTTGGCAACTTTTTATATCATTGACCAGTGTATCTTTTTAGTCCGACTTAGGGAATTGAGGGTGAGTGGCACAGTTCTGTACTAGTTCACCTCTTTCCTCTGAGGATGACCTCTTGATATTGATACGAAACAAAAGATCCAAGATCATGGCCTGCTTTGCGGGGTGCTGAACCTTTTTAATTTTTAGGTTGAACAGATGGATTTGATCATCTGTCACCATGGGACAAAATATCATCAGTATGCTGATGACACCCAGTTATATATCTCTGTCCTAGGCAAAGTTGTGATGCTATGGAAATTCTTGTGATACTTGAAGACTGTGGGGAATAGACTTCAACTGAACCATGGTAAGTTAGAGTGACTGTGGGTAGGCCTGCCTGTATCTGGGAGTTTATCATCTTTGATCTTGGATGGTGTTCATTATCCCAGACTGATTCAGTGCATGATCTGGGCACCTGGACATGGCTCTAGCTCAAAGAACAATTATCAGCTGTGGCTATGAGGGCCTTTGTTCAACTTAATGTTGTGAGCCCACTGAGCTCTTTCCTGTGTAAGGAGGCTCTCTGTTTGATCACTCATGTCCTGATCATCTCCCATTTGGATCATTGCAATAAGCTCTACACAGGGCTACTCTTGAAAAGTATCCAGAAGCTTTAAGTGATATAGAATGCAGCTGCACAAGCAATGTTGGTTGTCCAAAGAATGACACATGTAATACTTTTGCTGCATAAGCTTCACTGAGTAGTATTTTCCTCCCAGGTCCAATTCAAGGTATTGTTATGATCTTTGAAGTCCTACAGGCGCAGGGCCAGGTTATCAATAGAACTGTGTTCTTCCTGTTACATCAGCCTGTTTCACTTGATCAGGCAGGGAGGATATGTTGCAGACATGTCAGTAAAAGAATTCCAACTGGTTGGGTCCAAGAAGAGAGTTACCCCCATCCTCTGGATCACTCTCCCCCAGGGATGAGATGGGCCCCTACTCTCTTGGCCTGCTGTCTTGCTTTAGGCTTTCAGCCAACTCTGTGGTTGGTTACTGCCTGAAAGCCCTGCCCTGCCTTTTAATTAATTTTTAATGTTGGATTTTAATCAACTTTTCCTCTTTTAAAATGTTATATACTATTTCATGTTTTAATATTTTATTTGTATACCAGAGTCCCTCTGTGAGAGAAATGAGTGGTTTCAAAATTTGATCAATAAATAATAAATACATAAAATTGTGTGAGTCAGTATTTGAAACCAGTAGAACAGGAGTTTGTTATTTTTTTTTAATTTGAGTCTTTCATGATTTTAAACGTTATTAGGTTTGTATGCCACCTATTAACACTCTCATGTTTTTAAAGATAGGATAAATAAATTTTCAAGGAATTGCTTGTGTGAGGAAACAAAATTTTTGGAGGAGTGGTAGCATATTATCAAGGCAGAAACGTAGAAGGAATGTGTGCTAATTGGAGTAACCATGAAATGCTTGGTACTCAGCTTTACATGAATTTCTATGATAACATAACTGATACGCATCATTTCATTAAGACAATGATTCTTTCTTGGGTATAGTAACCGTAGAAGAGCAGGAGGTAACTTGAGGTTTGCTAATTATGAATATCTATGCTCTCATCATCTATTACCTATGTATATGTATAACTATATAATTTTTCTCCTTTCCTGAAATATATGAGTGCATAATTTAGTCTGTGGGAATCCCTCCCATTATTTTCTGGAGGGAATTCCTATATTTTAAATTATTACTACAGCAACCCTTGATTATTGGTTTTGGGTCCTGCATTTGGGTCCATGCTGGTAAACAGAAAATTGGTTTAGAGCAATTTAGCAGAACTGAAAACCATACTGCTGCTCTTTTACTGCTTTGCTGAATTAATTGACTAAAACATTTTAATGCTTCACTACTGCAATAGTGAAAAAAATCAGTAGGTTTAAATTTATTTATAGATTTAGGACAATGCTGACAAATTGAAAATGCATTCACTAAATCATTCCATATTAGCACGTCAATAATCAGAATAGAATTTACTAACTAGATGTACAAATTACATAAGGAAATATAACTTGTTACTAAAAAGACCACTGACTTGCATTAATATTTAACCAGTAGTTACAGTTGTGTTACAGAATGTAATGCTGAGTATTTTAAAAGGTAAACTAAAGACAAGCCAACCTGATAGTATGGATCTCTCATTAATAATCTTATACAAATTAAAATTCTTAGAAAATGGACGGATGAAGCTCGGTTAGCCCATTCTCTGCAACAAATAAAAAATAAATACCACATATTAATAACTCTAGCAACTTATGAGCAACTTCATATTTTTAGCTAACATTCAGACAATTATAGACAAGAAAATAGCATCTCATAAACTTATTCCCAATTATTTAACTTATTTTTAATTAAACTATATGTTGTTCTAAATTTAGAACAAATCAAAACAAAAATTCTATTGCTTTCAAATCAGCAACACAGAATTGAGTGTTTACGTACAATAAAACCTCAAGCTTATAGACCTCAGTTTTTAATGAGTTCAGGCAACCTTCATATAAAAAGCAGATTCAGGCTTCCCCACCACTGATAAAGAGAGATATTTTCTCTTCAGTGCATCCTGTGTCTGTGAAACAGAGGGATACAGGAAACCTTCATCCAAATCAATGCAAAATATATTTATTCTAAACTGAGCAATAGTTCACTTTCTGGAATTTTTGTAGTTCTATTAAATAAATTCATCTCAATATATCTTACTAAAGAAAACTCTTTGAAAATTGTCCTTGGAAAAGAATCATTATTAGTTTAGACAGTTGCAAAGCCTAACAGCAATGACAAAAATGAATCTAAATATCTCATCCCAATTAATGGACAAAGTCCATTAACTCAAAGTTTTATTGATATTTCTGGAAAGAGTAAGGATATGTGGACAAGCCAGTAGAAAGATTGACAGAGATAAATTGGGGAGTAGGTGTACAGATAAACAATAGCAAGAGGAAGATTAAGGGATAGTACAATTTTAATCTCTTGATAGCGTGGGAACTGCATCATAATTATGTCATTGTGAAAATAAATAAATCACTGCAGAAAACATATTTTGAATGTGACAGACATTTGGGAGTAACAAATACTTCATTCCTGCCACTTCTCCATGCCCCAGATTTCAATAGCTTCAACACTTAAGACAAAGGCAAAAGAGGACTATGTTTGAACTTACCTCATATGAAAAAAAAATCTCATCTTTATTTTTTTTTGCAAGTAATTTTTTAAAGTTTTGTTTTAACATCTTTAAAAATGCAAATACATAACTATACAAATGTAAGATACATTTCAATTTATTTTCCTCTCATTCATTCCGTCTCAAAAATAGCAGTGATTAAAATGTCAGTTCAAAGATATGCTGGCCATCAAGGCAATTTCTAAAAATAATCTAGTAAAAAACAAAGGTGGTACTGCTGTAGATATAAATTAACTCCCCAAAATTATATTATTTGGAACAATCTTCCTGGGCCTATGGCTCTTTTCAAGGTTCTCTCCACAGAAAAGGACTTATTTAAACTTATTTAACAATTGATCTCTATTTCAGTTAATAAAGAAAAAATAAATTTAATGTAAAACTAAAACATAGTATGAAGCCGTTGAAATTCAGTCAAATTATTCACATTATATGAAAAATGGCTACAGCTCAAATGCAATTTAAATCAGACTTGACTGAATATAATGGGATTTATAACTGAATTAAATCCTATACATTTAGTGAGTGTGCTGTATCACAGATATAGGATTAAGGTGCTGGATCCATGCTCAAATCCTCCTTGACCAAACAGTTCACTTGGCAATTTTAGATCAGTCACTATCTCAGTCAATTTCACTGGATTGTTCTTGTTAGTATAAATTAGTATAAAATAAAGAGCACCTTTGGGTATTTAACTTTTAAGACTTTGAACTTTAGAAATAATTAAACCAGCCAAATGTCAACAAATGAACCAAACTAAATCTGAGAAACCAACCTGATTTGGAAGAGGTTTTGAGAATGGAAGGAGAGTAGTTTGCCTCTTGGCAGTTTTCTGCTTCCATGTAGAAGCTTAATTTGACCCAGTGGGAGGGAAGGAGAGACAAACAGATTCTAAGATTGGGGCGGATTGACAATAGTGTTACTAATGACTACAGGGTGACCACAGGCCATGGGTTATCCATCCTGCCTTAGGGAAAATGCAGTAATAAGTAATAAAACACTTTAAAAAAAAAAGCTGACATCTACATTTTATTTAAATAGCTTCCCATTCTATGAGAAGCAATATACACAATCTATTGGAACATTTGAGGATATAAAACAATCTTGTTTTTTTACAATTACATTTATTTTAAATTTAATGTTATGCTACAAGTTGAAACTGTGAAATATTAACATGTACTATAGGTTTTGCATTCATAGACATGATTTTGTGGACATTACCAATTTTTCTAGGTACTATAGTACTGTGTGATTATACTTCTTAAGGAAAAGATTAGCATCAGATTAGAATCAGACATAGGATCAAAATGAGTGTTAGCATTCTTGGTTTTTATTCCCAAAATCATTGAATTTTGACAAACAGATCTTCAAAAACAGTTTATCATGAATATGGCTTTTTCAAACATCTAAATGAAATCACTGGTGAGATCATCCAATACCAAGGGATGAGATACCATCAGTATTTAGATGAAACTCAGCTCTACGTCATTATCTCTGGTTATCAAAGTGATGCTGTAGCTGCCCTTTTGCAGTACCGGGAGACTGTAAAGGTCTAAATGGGGAACAAGAGATTTGATTTGAATCTTAATAAGATGGAGTGGCTATGCTTGCAGGGAATCTCAGCATTCAGTTGTTTATCATCCTTAGTTCTGAATGGGGTTGCACTATCCCAGGCAGATTTGGTTAGCAATCTGAGAATTCTTCTAAACTCTTGCTTGAAGAGCAGGAGAAAATCATGACTTAGGAGGGCCTTTGTGTAATTTTGCAATGTGTGCCAGTTGTGTTATCTGATCATAAGACCCTGCACACAGACCCTAATACTCTAATCATCTCTCAGTTGAATTGCTGCAATGCCCTCTACCATAAGAGTATTTAGAAGCTATAGCTGGTGCAAAATGCAATGGCATGGATAGTTCTGAGGGTCCCTAAGGTGGCATATAACACCATTGTTGTGCCAGCTGCATTGGTTCCACGGCCAATTCAAGGTATTGATCATCATTTTAATGACCTTTATTGTATGAGTCCAAGTTATCTGAAGACCCCCAATAGAATTATCTTGCCCCACATGGAAGGGGCTTACTATGAACCCCATCTGTTAAAGAATTTGATGAGGTCAACTAGAAGAGCCTTGTCCATTGTGGGTCCTGCACTGTGGAACACTTTACCATCGGAGGTGAGATTTATTCCCACTCCCCTGGCCTTCCAAAGGGGCCTAAAAGCCTGGTTTTGTTGTTACTTTGGGGCCCTGGCTCTCCTTGCTGGAGATGGTTGCCAAAATAAACAAGAAAACCTCACCTTCATCTTATCCTTCTCCTTGGTCTTAGCTCTTGTGCAACTTGTTGAATTCTAATTGTTTCTAGATATATGTTTTTTTTTTTCGTTTGTAAGAAGCCCAAAGTCATCTTATCAGTGAAAAGGGCAGCATGAAATTTAATAAATAAATAAAAACATTGGAGCTATCTGGAAACTGGTCAAATAAAAGAGAGCAATAGCCTCTCATAAGAACTTTACAGTTAGTAACGTGATTTCCTTTTACTGCTGGAAATCAAAACTTAATACAATTCAAGAATGCATAAATATCAAAATCAGGTTCTACTATCAAATATCTATAAATTATGATTTCTAACAATTTATGCTACAGTCCTTTATCCACCTGCTCCAATTAATTACTTACATCTGAGTATCCATATATAGACATGCCTACAAGGGTAGAGAAATCACACAGAACGTATCATATTAATGCTGTATCTAATTATATAAATTTATATATTTTAAAACCCCAAAATCTCTTCAATTTTGCAGCATTCTTTAACAAGCTATACATATAGTCTGTATCTCTTACCTGCAAATAAGTCGGTTTTTAACCAAAGCTGTGAAGATATCTTGAAATAACTTGTGTTGCGGATGTTGACTAAAATTTCTTTCATTCTTGTAATTCATACTAAAGGCACAAGGTTAAATCAGACATTGCAAAAGGCTCAAATCTTAGTACAAAAAGCATTATAAAAATATAAATTACAGAAAATATATACTCCAATCCAACATATATGTGAAGTTAAACTTCTAAAAAAAACTACAATGATATTGCTGCTCAGGTATGGGCTCATTGCTTAGTCTCAGGGAAAACACCAGCAGTGTCATACCCTCTTCCTTGAATATTGCAATTATCTTAGGCGCTGTATACTCTAAGAACTGTCATATATGCCTATTGGAAAATGAAATATGACTGACTCTGGCTCACCAATTTAAGAATTGGTAATTACAACCATCCATTTGTCCCAAGACAGTATTTAGCCAGCTAGAGAAAGATGCACAGCTTTCCTATGAAGCTTATGTTTGCTTATAACTCCAGTCCCTTGGCTACCTCAGAACAAATAAAGGCAATACAGATAATCCTCGACCTCTAGCCATAATGGAGCCCTCCCTTACCCCACCAACTCCTGCTCATCATAATGCAGTTGTTAAACAACTATGTGGGTCGTTAAGTGTCTCATGGGTGGGGGAAGGCTCTTAGAAGCCTGCCACAGGCCTAGGCCTATCCCAGGCATCCCAAAGCCTCCCCATCCCAAGACATTCCATGTTTTGCTTCCTACCACATGGGATCCCACAGTCTTTGGACCTGCTTCCCCCCCACCCCTCCGATCTCTGGTAGCCGTTTTCCCACTGGGTCCCCACATGCCTTCCTCTCCACTGAATCACTGTAGGGCTTAGACTTCCTCCTCACACCTTCCTCACAATTCAATGCAGCTGCATCAAAAAGGCAGCCACTTTGGGCCCAGCAACAAACTAATTCATTCTATTTCCTTAATCCAATCTATGCAATGCTGAGGCAAGCTCAAGAGCTTTGTGTTGTAGTGTGCAAACTGTATTAGGAAAGTGGAACAAATCTCTGTGTCTCTGGACCATGCAGAAGTGTACCAGAAGTGGCTGCCTTTTCAACATGACTGCATTAAATTCTGGTCATTCAGAAAATAGTGGTAACTTCTGGGATCACACTACATGGCCCAGCAAAGTAGTGGTCCATTCTGCTTCCCTAACATGATCTGCACAACACTCCAGAAGCCCACATTGCTGCACCGTCCACATCAGGGAAGCAGAATAGAACTCTCCATTGTTGGATGATGTGGTGCAATCTTAGAAGTGGCCGCTATTTTCTGAGCAACCATAATTCAATGTGGCTGCTTGGAAAATGGAAGCCATTTCTGGGACTGTGCCATAGGGCCCTGCAACAAAGTGGCTTGTTATGCTTCCCTAATCTAAGCTCTAGAGCAAAAGAGATCTTCAAATAGTAAATGAGGATGGAAAACAGGTTCAAGGCCTGCCAGGACCTAGTGAGACAGACGAGGGGAGTACAGCATTCCTGTGGTCGCTGATAAGGGAAAATGATCATGAGTCCACTATAGTTATAACTTTGAGAACAGGTCATAAATAGCTTTTGGGGAGTCTGCTATAAATCTGAATGGTCATTGAGCAATCAGTAGTAAGTCAATGTCAGTCATTTCTTTGTCTGTGCAGTAAACTGCAGAACTTCTTCCAATCAGCAAAATGGACAGGGCACTCTTTTATTCATAATATGCCATTCGTAGAATAGAATGAACATCATTCAATCAAGATCATTTTATAAATGGTCACTGAAAATATATTTCCATATGAATTCTGATTACTATACTATCATTCTATTAACTGACAGTACAAATGATTTTACCTGCCCTACTCTCCCACCTTTAAATGAGACTTCTTCAACAAGAGAGGAAATAATTATATATAAAATATTCACATGACTAAAACTATAGAAATTCTACATTGTCATCCATATATGAAGCATCAATAGATTAATATGATAGTTACGTCTTAAATTCAGGTATCAAGAATAAGCATACTTTAGAAGTACATCACTGCTCTAAGAAGCTCTAGAATAGGAATGCACAATTTTTTTCAAGCTAGAATTTCATTCGGACTTTCTAATGGTATGTCAAAAATAATGGGAGGGTTAAAAAACTAAATTGGACTTCATTTAATTAAAATTATACGTAAGTAATATGACTATTGGTATTTATTTCTTTATCCTTGTATCATCCAAACAATTCCAAGTTAGCAATAATTTCTGGAGGGTGCTGAAAACTTTTGGAAAGTTCTTTAACTGTATTCAGTGCTATACTTTAATTATAATCAAAGCTTTCAGAAACCTCATCCTCAAATTTGCATAAATGCTTGAGAATAAAATTTAAAAATATTGAAAGTAAATGCATGAAAATACAATAAACCTTAATTAATTTCAGTACATTGTACCTGAAGTGTTCCAGTTCAACAGCTTCAGAAGATTCTTCCCACTGACCTCTATATTTCTCTTTGCAAGAATTGCTAGAATATCGTTCAGACTTGGTCATACTATTATTAATACTTTCAAAGTTAAGGGCTGGCAACTGCAAATGCAAGACAGGGTTGTTAGTTAAGTAAGTTACTTAATATAACCAGAATAATATCAGTGATTGTCATTGGAATTCCATAATACTAATAATGATATATGAAATATAGGTAACTGATACAATTATTAGTACTCCTCTGTGTTTAAGATTACTCATTGATATTCATCTAGATTGAGTATCTTTACACACAGAGACACAGAGACACACAAGCACACACACATACATTTGAATTTGGATTATTGGAGAAAAATGCCAATAATTTAAAGCATTTAACTGGAAGATCAGCAACACAAAGAGGGTAGCTTCAATAAACTTCAACTTAGAATCTTGCTTTGAAGGCTGCCAATAGGCTCTGGGGTACAAAAGACTGTACAGTAACATATGACCTGGTCAGTGTAGGACTCTAGACTAGGGTTTTTCAATCGGTGGTACACATACCACCTGTGGTATTTTGCCACTGGCAGGTGGTACGCAACCGTCCCAGAAAAGTGTAGTGGGGGAGGGGAATGAGCCAAAGTGACCCAAGCCCGAGGGAAAGGCAGCTGCAGTTTCAGGACTGGCTGGGCTTGGCAGAAGCCCCAGGAGCCAGTAGGGCTCCAGCTGATCGGCACTTCCAGAAGCAGCATGGAGCTGGAGATGAACTGAAGAAAAAGGGGGAGAGGAGAGGAGAAGTTATAAAAGGAGGTGGTTTGGGCAGGAAAGGGAAAAAAAGACAACAGGGAAAGAGAAGGAGAGCTCAGCAGGCAGGGAGGAAACAGGGACAGGGAAGAAGCAGCAGCTGTTGCTGGAAGAAAAGCTCCCCTGGTTCGTTTTCTCCCGCCAGGAGAATGTAATCAATGCTGATGAAATGAAAAGCCAGCAGGTAGGAAAGGAGGTGGGTTTATTTAGTTCTGGATCAGCTGGCAGCTTGATTGGGTTACCATAAGGATTTTTCTACAGTTTTTACAGCGTTTTGTAATTCAGAGGCTTGGTTTGTGTGCTTTGGTTATTGGAATATTTTAGTCTGTATTTTAGGCTAGCAATGAGTTCAAAGTGTTGACTTCCGTAGGTTTAACTCCTTTAAAAAAATGTAATTAGTTTTACCCCCTTATCTTGAATCTGTCTACGGCTTTTAGAAAGTTTTCTTTGAAGGTAAACAGGCTTAATTTAAGGCTAAAGCTTTTCGCAATTGCCATAGCCTTTCAGTCTCAGATTGCAACATTGTGACACAACATGCCTAAAGGAAAAAAAACGGAGTGTATGTGTTTATTTTGTGAGCCTTTCTTGCTTTGCACTTGATTCCCGTGTCATTAGGGTACAGGGAAGAGAGTGGAGGTGGGGGTGCATTCTTACTACATTGTGAAAGGAGAGCTCAGAAGGGAGAGAGGAACAAGGGCCAACCAGCTAGCTCAGGGGTCTACAAACTTAGCAACTTTAAGACCTGTGGACTTCAACTCTCAGAATTCCCTAACCAGCCATGATGGCTGAGAAATTCTGGGAGTTGAAGTCCACAAGTCTTAAAAGTGCCAAGTTTGAAGACCCATGAGCTAGCTGGTAGTGGTGCATATTAATAAACATGGATAAATTCATCCTACATTTGTCAATGCAAAGGGAAAGTGATTCAACAAAGGAACAGCCACCGAATAAATTAAAGCTGGTACTTTTTTCCTTTTTTTCTACAGTTCGTAATATTTTATTAGATTATAGAATAAAATACAAAAATACAAAAGCAAATAATAGGACACAATGGGGAGAAAAAGGGAGGAAAAGTGAAGAAGAGAAGAAAAAAAGAGCGAGTTTCCTCTGTTGCAGTAGAAGCATTAACATTGAACCTCATCTTTTTACTTTTCTATAATATTATAAACTAGCCATTTCTATAACAACAAATGAATCTAATCAGTAAAACCCAAAATCTCCCCCCCCCCTTTTTTTTTTAATCATCAAGTTTCTGACACTTGCTAAGCACTGGTGGTATTCAAATATTGTAATGTCCTAAAAGTGGTACAATCTGTGAAAAGGTTGAAAAGCCCTGTTCTAGATAACTCTTCCCTAGTGGCCTGAGCCTGATGGCCTGAAAATGTAGAAGCTAAACTGCAGTCTCTGCTTTGGACTGTATGTATGTATGTATGTATGTATGTATGTATGTATGTATGTATGTATTTCATAAATTTATATAGTTGCTCATTTCACACATGTGATTTCGAGTAGCATACAAAGTTAAAAACACAAAAACAATTCAAGAAAATAACGAAAAGCATAACGAAAACCATTAAAAACCATAAAAATGTAATTGTAGGACACACACTCAATTTCACTAGCAATATAGCCACTACGCAGGCTCCATGCCTATGTTAGGCCAGATGGTATGCCATGTTTTCAGGCCCTTCCAGAGGTTTACAAAGGTCAGGGCCAATCTGACCTCGGGGGAATGATATTTTAAAAGACAGATGGTATGGCAGAAAAGGCTCTTTTCCTGGGCCCTATCAAATATTACCTTTTCTGCTCAGGTTCACAACTTGCCCTTCCCATCAGGCTTCATGGGATGGTAGATATGATTGGGGAAAAGCATTCCCTCAAATAACGTAACCCTATGCTATAGGGTTGAAATCTATAGATCATTAGCTGCACCTTGATTTGAACCCAAAAGCAATCTACCTATCAGTCAGTTCAGTCTTAGTGTGATAAAACAGAATAAAGTAGGAGCTATCCTACACAGATTGATCTTCCTGAATAGAAAGCTGAAAATATGTAGAAGTACTGGAGACAATGCTTTTATGTAATCCCTAGTGGGTATGCCAAATACTTACAGTAGTCTTCTGTTTCACAGATGGAACTATTTCACAAATCCATTTTAATCTGATCTAATCAGTACTGTCTCTTAAGATCAGATTTTAGTTTAATCAGTGTTTCTGGAATTTATACTACCTCTTATTTCAAAACTCTTAATGAAAACTGCTCTGCTAGAAATATGAAGCATTTTACACTGAAACCCATGACAGAAACAGACATGAAATGATATTATTATCATCCAGTTTATTGTTATCCAAAACTTTGGATTTTTTTTTTACCTATAATCAAGCAAAATGATGCTGAAGCAACACAAAAGCAAATACAACACACAAAACACAAAATAATTCATTATAAAACATAAGCACTTAGAAAACCTAATTGAGTTCTTTCTATGCAATTCATTCTATTTATTAGAGAAACCTGTAAGCACATTGAAACCATGAAATTCATTGTACAAGATTTACTATTTTTAAAATATTGATTCAAATTACAGCAATTTGAACAAGTACCTGTTGCTTGCTAGACTGAACATTTAGAAAGGCCAGAAGCCTTTTAAGATCAGAATAATCCCTAGGAGGAAAGAAATTATATATCTGTTAACAATCCATAATTACCATATCATTATGAAATGTAATTTTATCCATGCTATTCTGTAGCAAAAAAATCTTTCTAGAGCGCCTTTCTATGATCCCCCGTCTCTGCCCACATTTATATAGACTTGTCAGCCACAGCTATTTCTGTCACACTTGGTGACCAGAGAAACAGTAACCATGTACACACAGTGTTCAGACTATTTAATGGCTGGTGCAAATGCAGAAGATATTGCTGACATTTAGTGAAAAATATTATACCTTTGAGATTTACTATCTACTGCCTTTTCTTTGGTCTTCACCTTCTTGAGTTGATCTGGCATTTTATACCCTCAAGGCAGCAGAATTAATTCTTAAAGGAAACAAATGTAAAAAAGAATATTGGTTTCTGGACATGTGAAGAACAATGGGAACAGAATTTCAGCAACTGGAGGAAAAGAAATAGAGTTGGTTGAAAAAGAAACATATGTTAACTAAAAGATAAAACCTGTAGTAAAAATATTAACTGAGTTAACTCACAAAATCATCTCTTAGTGGGATTTATTCTATCTTTGAATTTTAAGTAGTACATCAGGTTGTTTATTTATTGTTAGATTTAGATTCCACTTTTCCTTTAAGGGTAGAAGGGAACTCATATGGGGATCTTTTTTTTAATTTAATTCCAGTAACATCAGTTCTCTGAGGCAGACTGGATTGAAAGAGATCAGCAAAAATGCTCCCACCATGTTTCCCTATATAAGTACAGATTAAAACCTGAGTTTCTTTGGTCCTAGTCCAACAGCTTAATCATTACAATATACAGGCTTTCATTTTATCAATTAATTTTGAGATACCTCTCCATTTTGGGCAGTGGTTTCTAATGTAGCATGGCATGGGTTGCAACAAGCCCACGAGGAATTTGGATGTGGAGCCCACAGAACTAGTTGAGTTCTGAACGTAAAATCTTCTGTCATTGATTTCTGGAGAAAAAAGTCAACAATCTGCAGAAGATATATATAATTATTTGCCATGCCTATTACATCTTTTAAAAAGACAATGTTCTATGTACAGAGTCTTCCCCCTCCCCCTGTAAATAAGGAAGTGATAATTTAAATGTGCAAGTGCCCAAATTATACATCTTAATATAAAATATATTTTTTATCATAAACAGAAAAATGAGATGATATATTCACACATAATAGAGCATTAAAGTAATACTACACTACTCTAATTGTATCTCTTTATCTATATCCATTCATGCATTTAAATTAGAAGTTCCCAGAAACAGAACTCTTAATGTCAAGCTTGACTTCTGATGGTTGCATCCATCTAGCTTTGTTAGCAATGTTATGGAAGAGAACTGTTATTGTCCCCCATTATATTTGACGCCCCAGTCTACATAACAATCCTGGATTTCTCAAGGCATTCACCACCTGTTTGGCATCTGTTTAGCTGATCCTGTTTAGCCTCTGAAATTAGCCAAGGTCCATGACTGATATAGTATATATACTAATAGAAATAGATGTGGTATTCTAGACTGCATTGTAAAGTAGGTGACATCCAGCAAACCAAAACATACTAAATTGCCCTTGCATTGCTAACTTTTGAATTATAGAAATTATAGAGTGGGTCCAGCTTTCTAGCAATACACTGCATCACTATCTTGAGTTATCTGTAAAAATAATAAATGCAGAATACAAATTAATAAATTTTGCAATATTACATATGGCTAACTGGTTATCCTGGTTTTTTTCTAGAACACTATCGGTCTCCTATAAAGAAATAGGAGAAAAATCTTTGAAGACTGGAGCCCCCCCAAAAGAAAAGAAAATTTCGAATACAATTCTTGATAAAAAGAAATGGTAGTTTGTACTTCTTACAGTTCATGTACATATTAAATTGAGGCCCTCGTTTATACGCACCATACGGTTTACCTTTTTAACCTGAGCCCATCTATAACCACGGAGGAGGCCGCGTGCCCTGTTTACTTGGCCAATGGACTCTACAGAAGCTTATTATAGGTCAGTAAGTCAGCTCTTGTTTAAAGTTGCCTCAGAGCTGTTCCTGGTTTTCAGTAAAAGTCACACACTCTGCCCGTGTATATGTACATTTGTCTCACACGTGCCGACGCTAAATCTCATGCTGTAAAAGGATTTTGAGGAACTACCAGCACTGCTTTCCGTGGGTCTCCGTGCCTTTCCTTCTAATCGCAAAATTCGAGGCTGATCTCAGGCGGGCAGGGGGATTGGGCACTGTTAACTCCTCCCGTCTCTCCTCCCCAATTTTTGCACAGAAGAAGACATCGCTGCCCTTCGGCCGCCGTTCTATCACTCACCTGCTTCGAGTGCCAGTTCTTACACCATGGCAGCTTGCTTGTTTACTATTTATTTTTGCAGTAATAATTATACCAATGCTTGTTTTTAAACCAAATAAAAAGCTCCAGTCTGCCGAGCGAGCAAATCCGCAAACGCAGGAACCAATGAAAATGCTCCTTTTCCGTAAGGTTCCGGGACAACGACTAACTAACACTACCGTTGTTGTCATAGCAACAGAGAAGCCGCGCGGCTAGAATCCAAAAGAATGATTCTAGCTCAGCGCCTCTTTGGTGTGCCTAAGAACGGTGACGTCAAACCGCCAATGAAGGGAAACTGTAAAAGGGAAAGTGATCATACTCCTCCAAGTGGAAGCTGGGTGATAAATCTGTATTAGTGTTTTCAACCTTGGTAACTTTAAGCTGGATGAACTTCAACTTCCAGAATTCCCTAGTCAGCTGTTAGGGAATTCTGGGAGTTAACTCCACACATCTTAAGCTTGTCAAGGTTGAAAAACACTAGTCTATATATTGCTTGTTATAAGGCGAGCCCTGGAGTATCTTAACCCTGATAAAGTCAATACACTATCCATCTATTTTTTAAAGCATATTCCTTTATAGACTTAAACACAGTATTTTTCAGTCATGGATGTTTTTCCTCTGAGAATACTTCCTTTCCACTGCTCCTGGCATATATTTGCTATGGTTTCTTTGACTGACTGCATATCCTGTCTTATGACATATTTCTGGCTTTTCTACAATACTCAGTTCCTGTTTGGTCAACTTTTTTCCCCACATCTGCTAAGAATGTTTCATGCTGAATTATTTCCCAAGCACTGTTGCCTTCCCTAAAGGTTCAGTGTAAAAACTATTAGGCCCTTTTCTAATGTTAAATATGATTCCATAATATCATAGGGCACTTTTTTGGAACCTTTTTGGAACTTTAAGATGATGTTTGAAACCGTCCTCTACTTTCTCCCATAGTCTTGTATGATGGAGGGATAGGATCAAATTATCTCAGTGATATTACTCCGCAATACCACTGTGAGGAAGAATACATATGCATTCCTGAAATGGAAATTTTTAATTACTTCTGTATTTTTAATTTATTGCTTAATGGAGGTTAAATAATTAAAATAAAATAACATGAAATAATTAAAACTATTCCTGGAGATCTTGAGTTCTAGTTCCCCTTTAGGCAATAACCAGCTAGATGAACTTGGGCCAGTCACTCTCTTCAGCCTTAGGAAATAAGCAGTGGTAAACTGCTTCCAAAATCCTGCCAAGAAAACTACAGGCATTTCTTCAGGCAGTCACCAGGAGGCAAAAGTGATTTGAAGGGACACACATAAAAAGCCATTCTGAGAACCCTATGTTTTGAAAGGCACCATATGGTTTTTTTTAATTAATCAAAGTTGGATATACTATAGGCCTAGAATCTGTCATAAATTGGTCCTAAATGCCTAAAAAGATGAAGTCTTTATCTGTATCCTAATCTCATCCTCATAATTTTCAATTTTGTTTGTATAACCAGACCAGCTCTTTAATCAAATAGCATTTTAGTTACAGTTATTGTTAATTTTATTGAAGTTTACTTTTGGTTTCTAGAGCACATTTCATTTCTTCCAGTTATTTATGCTGAGAAACACCATTACTTCTTATTTCTCCTCGGTACTAAATATCAGATAATGCATATATTGTGTGAATATTTATTACATCACACAAGGAAATTACCAAATGTTTTACAGGACATGTTCTTTTTTCTATTATGGATAATCATAAACTTCACTTCTAGGAATCCCCATCAACATATATTAGAAGGGGGAGCATTTGTTCTTTCCCCAAGGAATCTATTCCCTCTGTAGGAATGACTCTCTATACCAGGAATATGATAATAGAGATGGTGGTCTTTTGCCATTTTTTTCACAAAAAAGTATCCATCCATCTTACTTCTGTTACCAGGATTTTCAGGAATTAAGCTTTTCCCCTTCAAACCAGGAGACTGGGCAAACTTCTCAACAAAGCACAAAATAATTCACACTTTCTGTATGGCATACATTTGTAAGTTAATAGCTGCCAATCATTTAAATCAATATTTTTTTCTACTACCAGTCCTACTGATCATTTTTGTGATTCTGTAAATGTAATGAAAGACATTTATCCCAGATTAGTATTACTAGTGAAACATTAGGAATAATAGCTATCCTATATTTCACATTGCTAATCAATTTTCAATTGCAATTAGGTATAGCTTTAAAGGTAGTCTTTATTTGTCAACCACTTATTCAGCAACTGTTCAAAGTTGTGATGGCACTGAACAAATGGTAATTATAACCATTCCTTGAAGTTCCAAGCATTCCAGCACTGACATGGCATGTGATTACAATTTGGAAGCTTGACAACTGGCTCACATTTACAAATGTTAATCCAATGGTCACACAGTCGCCATTTGCAACATTCCCTGCCAGCTTCCCATAAGCAAAATCAATAAGGAAGCCAGCAGGGAACAAAATGACTTACCAGAAGTCACTCTGGTAAGTCTGTCTGGCTTTCTTTCACTTATGCCACACTGCCATCTCCCAATCTTCTGTACTTTGTCCTGTTGCACCATCCATCTTCTGGCCTCTCCCAAGGCATATGCAGCCTATGCTCAACCTTCCAAGTGTCTTATCTTCCCCTAATTCACATGCTGCCTGCGCAACAACTTAGGACCTCCCAGGATCTCCCAGCCCTCCCTACTCCACTACCATCCATGTGCCTTCAGAAATTTATCTGGGACTTTAACCACATTCTGCTTAATGACTTGTACATCTTGGGATTATAATGACAGTCTGGACTGCCAGGAGTATCATCACTAAGTGATGCAGTCATAATGTCATAAAGTGCAACATCACATGACCACATTGCTTAGCAACAAAATACTTGCAGTCTCTGTTATTATTAAATAAGGATCATTGGTTGTTAAGTGAGCACCTCCTTGCAATTTCCTGCCAGTTTTCAATAATCAAAGTCAGCAGGAAGTTGCAAGTCCCAGGGGGCTTGCAACAGGCTGGCAGGCATTTAAGTGCCTGCTGCAAGGGGGTGATAGTCAGGTGGGAGACATGGAACAAATGCTGCAGAGCTTGAGTGGCTGCTGCCATGTGCAAAAATGGCCAAGGAGTCTATTAGGGTTGAGATGGCTACTGCTGGATGGGAGAGAGTGTGTGAGGATATGCAGGTGGCCAGCAAGATGCAATGTAAGTGCAATGGGGAAGGATGTAAGGGTGATGGGAGACTTATCTGAACAATTTACAATCCCCACTGCCATTCTGCCAAATGACTTTGCTTTGGGGAAAGGTTGCAAATGGTAATCACATGACTGTGGAATACTGCAACCTTATAAGTGCAGATCACAATCATATGTCCTTTTAAGGACTGGTTGTTATCACCAATTATTCAGCATCATTGTAGCTGAATAGGGGAGGATGTATCAATATGAATTTCAATGTTTGTCCTGCCAGCCAAATGGTGTTAAGACAATGTTGGGAACACATTGTGGAATTTGAAATCCCTTAAGTATTTAGATTGTACCCTCTCTCAAAAGGTAAATGGGTTATATGACTCCAAGCAAAAATTATATCCCAGCTCTAACCCAAAATTCTTTTACATGTTCCATAGACCACAGGCCAACAATTAGCAAGCAGAACCCAGATACCTTTTTATTGATTGGAACTATCAAAACTAAACCTAGTCTTTTGGAATTAATACTTTACAAATTATAAATGAAACTAAAGAAGACAGGACAGGGTCCAACAACAGATCTGAATAACTTTAGTAGCAATAAAATCATTACCAGGCTTAAGTTGTTTAACAAGATCTGCTATTTGTGAGCTTGCTTTGGAAGATCAGTACCATAGCAGATTCATATTAAGCTTTTCTTTCCTTCCTTCCTCCCTTCCTTCCTTCCGAAACTTACTTTCTTTTGATAACTTTTTTTTTATTTGTTTCAGTCCTGGCTGGTTGGCTTCTATTATCCTCCTCAGACTGGCTAAAATATTGACTTCTAGCTACTGACTCCTAAACATTTGTTTCTCTTTAGTGTTTAGTCAGATCTAGAGTGGGACAAGGATTTCCCTTTCAATCTTTTCTGGTGTCCCAGAGAGTTGGTGTAGAAAAAGAGAAACTGGTTTATAGTGATAGGATGATGGCAGCAAGAAAACCCAATTGTTAGTTGTTGTTCATCCATAGGCACTGTTATCTCAGAATGATAGGCCTCAGAGAAAGGGTCTAACATTTAAGGGTCCCCTTTCCCCCTCATTAGATATGTTAATCTTAAGGTACAATGTATATATAAAAAAAGTAACTCGAGTCTTTAAAAGCAGTGACATTTTATTGCTTTTTTTCAACCTTTTCAAATATTACAAAAAATAGTCATTAAACAAATGATAAAACATTGAATTTATTTCCATTACATACTGGAGGATTTTGTGGGCATTATATAAAAGAATAAAATATTATCTCTACATTCAAACAGTGTAACTTTGGATATAATTCTATAAGAAAATGATGTATGATTAGAAAACCGTTATATAAATTGGAGTATACTGTAGAATTACACATCAAGTAGATGGTTTTGTTCAGGAAGCAGTTCTGAACACTGGAAGATACTTACAAAACAAAGTATAAGTGACAAAAGGGAATAAATTGAATTTATAAAAACCTGTCCATTAAATAAGTTATTCTACGTTTGCAAAACAGTGACAATATATGCTAAATATGATTTTTCTTATTTTCACACCAATTATAAGCATTTTCTTGTTTATTGATATTTTTTCTAAAAAATAATAAAAATTCAAAATAGTAAAATCACAGGACAACATTTTATATTAATACAAGTATCTATGGACACATTACACACCTCTTCATTCATGAAATTAAAGGGTTCTTCATAGTAATTGTGCTAAATAACATATGGAACCTATATTAATCATCTTAACAATCATTACATTACTGACCAAAATGTGTCAAAAGAAAATAACATTCAATACATTTTACTAATGACCAACATGCACTATGCTGGGGACATAACACAATTCATTAACACATTTTTAAACAATGAAGACCCATGAATATTTGTAATGCACCACAGTTATCTGACATTACAATTATGGCTGGAATTTTTACCAGACGACACTGTTTATAAGACTACTGTACAGAGAAATAAATTTAATTGAAGTAAAAAGAAAAATACAATGTTGGATGCTAAGTAATGTACATGCTTTGAACACTATTTTACATATTTTATTGATTGCATTGAAAAATTGAATAATTTGTTTTTAGTATGGTTAATAATGTGGAATATAAAAACTAAGCATAATGAATCATGTATGTATGTATGTATGTATGTATTTATTTATATGGATTCATGAGTTTCCACAAAAATAAAAAAGGTATTTGTGTTCTGTTTGTGACATTAAACAATTTTAAGCAAAATGTTTACATAGAATTAAAATTTAGATAGTCTGCACTGAAAATATATTGCCTTAAAGAACAGAAAAGGTACATTTCCTGGGATTGCTCTACAGCAGGGGTTCTCAACCTTGACAACTTTAAGACTTGTGGACTTCAACTCCCAGAATTCCTCAGCCAGCAAAGCTGGGAGTTGAAGTCCACAAGTCTTAAAGTTGCCAAGGTTGAGACCCCTGCTTCTACAGTTATTTCCACTAAATCAGTCTGTTCCTAAGGAGGCAAACAGGTTATCTAGAAAACAGTCATTTAGCTAGTCTCATAGTGGGAATATACTGGCTATAAATTATATTTCATCCTAAGGTGAATCAGTAATTTTACTCATTTATAGCTGTTAGGGCAATATTTATATCTATATACAATAAAAGCTGTGTCTTTTATTGTTTTACTTAAATACTATAATTTTATTTATGGAAAAAGAAATAATGTTTTTACAACATACAACATAGAAAATTATAAATTAGCACTGGAGTTTTAAACATCCTATTTGGACATCTGCTATCAAAAAATTAAAATGTGTAATAATGAATTAATAAGCGGTATTTAAGCAAATAATGTAAACTACACTGCAAGTCATATTTTTGTCATTAGGAATTATTTTATATAATTAGCAAATAAATAATGAGTTTCAGATATTTATTTAAATTAATTTATTAACCCTTTGGCATTGAACAACAGCATTATTGAATTTCAGACGTTTGAAAACAAAGGGTTAAAATTCAAAACAATCTATTTGAGTCTTTGTAAATTTCTACACATGGCTCTGAAAACAAACATTTGTAATAACAAAAGACAAGTATAATTAATTTGGAATGCGGTCAATATTAATGAACATGATTCACTTGCATACACTAAGTAACAAACTTGAAATGTAATTTCAAAGATACAGAAATATTTATGAGCTACAAACAAGTATGATTTTTAAATAAAGAAAAGTGCATATATTTTTTTTAAAAAAAACTAAGGCACAAGCTATGCAAGCATTCAGGAATGAAAATATTATTCTGTTTCCAATATTTCATATCAAACCCAAGTATATTAATATTCATTTTATCATTTTTAGGCATCAGATTTTCATTTAACCTATTTGCCTATAAATTAATAATTTCATTTTTTTTCTTTGCTTAGTTTTACATTTGAACATTTCTGAGAACAATTGGGCCCTTTTCAACAAAATGCATTATTATCTTACTTGTTTCAGGTAAAATCCACAACTGCTTTAACTATATTCAAAATTTTGTGTTTACCAGAATTCTAGATGTTGCCAAATGAAACTACAAATCTTGCACCCCTTACTTGCTGCTAAAAAATCTTTGGTGCACTGTAAACAGGAGTACTTCAGTTTCAGTTTGAAATTAAGTTATGTGTGTTTTCGGTTACAGTTTTCACATAGCCATATTAAAATGGATGTTTATATTAAATGTTTATCTTTAGTACTGATCTAAAAAACTTAAATTTTAGACAAACTGTCTTTATAAAATTGGCAAACAGGTACTATTTAAGCACAATCAAACCTTACTCATTTCAGTGGCATATATATGTACTGAAATCTATAAACATAGGGCTTAAACATTTCACAGATCAAACTCAGCTATACCCAGCATTTTATATAAATGCTTTTATTGATCTAAGACAAATATGCTTTGGAAAACATTTTTTTAAATTTACCATAATTTTAAAACAATTCTGGTTTTATTTCCTGGAACTGAATTTTAAAATGATGGACTCATGAACTTATATAAATTTATTTTCAATGCTAGTAGAAATAAAGTTTATGTCAGAGAAGTCAACTCTTAATGTAAATCCAGATGTTCTAATATAGTACTACTGGAAAATTTCAATTTATATGACAGAATTTCTTCCCTCTCCTGCAGTTACCAATCATCAGCTAACTCCCCCAGCTCTTTGGAACTTATTTACAGGATGCCCAGGAGAAAATTAAATCATATCTCACAAAAAGAGAACCATAATCATGTTTAACCTTATTAAAAGGCAGTCTAAATAAATGCCAATCTAGATTTCTATATTAAAAAACTGCTTTATTCTTTCAGTATAATCTGTTCTTGTGGTTGCTGAATTAAAAAATAAAACTGACTTATTTTTTTAAAAAATGGAATACAATGCAATACAATGGTGTTTAACAGTACAGCTCAGAAAATAATTCATATACAAATACAAATAATTCATCCATAAAATATGAAATAAAGGCTGAAATACAGCAATTCCCTAAGTTGCATATGTATGATTTGTTCTTATAAACTGGCATAACTTTTGCAAAATTCGAACTAGCAAATACCTGATAACAGGACATTTGTATTTAAAATTATATAAAAATGTCACATACTATGCAAACCAATAATTTATAGCTGAAGATGATCTTTGACTTACTGATAAATAAAAAGGAAATTATTTTTCCTATTTAAAAAATTGAAATAAACATTCCACTAAAATAAATATTTCCACAGTGATAGACATTTCTTGTTGGAAAATCTCACTGCTGTTCACGTAAGTACCTAGTACTTAAAAGAAGTTGTGAAGTCACCCTCTTTCAGTATATCCTATAAAATAATATCATTGTTTTACCTCTATAATGAGGTTTCAGCATCTACATACTTTATTTCAGATGTTTTTTCAATTTCTATTTTCACACATGGCTCATTTTCAGGGCTGTTAAGAAAAATTCACATGATTAAAAATGCCAAGACACAGGTATTAATAATAAATGGATGCTGATATTGATATAATTTTATATGTAAAATATTTTTGTCTAAGGATATACACCCACATTCTCCACTTAATACTTATTGCTAGGAGCATAAAGCAAGATTTAACCTATAAATGCCTTTTTTAATTAAAAAAGGTATATATTCTATACTTATACATATCTTCTTAAAGCCTAGCAAGTTCAATAGAACATTCTTTTAGATAAATGAATATGGATTGATAATTAAGAAGTCACAATGATTCCCATCTTGTGTATCATAGATATGTATTTAAACATATAAAATACATTATTTGACTTTTGTGCTATAATCCAGTATAACCATTAGAATATAAAGCTCTTTGAATTATCAGAACTCAGTGAAGGATGGATTGATGGATAGTGGGTGGATGGATAGATTATAGATGATAGGGCTGCACTGCAAATACTCAGTAGCAAGATGGGTTTATGAGCAATTCAGAAGCATGAATTGTTGTAATATTTGAACTCAAGACTTTGTAGTTGTGTTGGCTATTATAGATCAATTGAAAAAAAATCAGCTGAAGTCACTGTATACTGTACTATAGAGGGAAATGAAATTAGGAAGTTGAGTGATGAATGAATGGAAAATAAAAATGGATTCTTAACAATTGTTAAGATAAAAGAAGTTTTCACATTATATGTCAACCCAGAAATACTACATAGTGAGTCTCAAACTGAACCCACTCAAATGTGCAATATTAAAATTAGAATGCTAAAATAAATTTGAAAAAAAAAACTGGAATATTTTGAACCAGGTAAAGGAATGTACTAAATCCTTTTTATGCAATTCAAACAACATACACAAATAATATAGTCAAAATTTGCCAGCATATCCCAGAAATATGGCAGCACAATTTGCAAAACTTGTGCTTTAAGACAGGGCATTCTTCAGACAGTGACATTGGCACATCGATCTCTAAAACTATATTTTTAAGCCTGAAAAAAATATAGTCACTGTCCACAAGCAAAATTGTCCACCATTATTTTATGTAATTTGGAGCAGAATTCTTAATGTATAATCAAAGAAACCATGTTATTCTCAAGCAAAGAGCTATATTAGTCCAAATGATTATTTTGTTTCAGCAATATTATTACTCATTTTCCAATATATTTATCATGCAACAGAATGTGTTATCATTTAAGAATATTTTAGAGCACTTTACTTGTCCCATTGAAAGCACTATAATAAAAATAGTGGAAATCCATTTTGTTAAAATGGATTTTCAGTTTTATTTGTGCTAAAATTTATCCTCTTTTTGTTAATATGGATTTTCAGTTTTATTTGTGCTAAAATTTATCCTCTTTTTGTTATTCGAAATAGGATCCCAGCTCCTTAACATAAGCTCTTTGGTATGTGTTTAGGGCAATGATTGCAAACTAATGTCATGCATGTCAAAGATGAAAAACTATGATGTTTTGGATGACATACCAGCATTCAACAACACCTGGCAACAACTATTCTTGAAAGCATGCCTCATTCTTACGTGACTTTTGGAGGGTGAGCAAGAATGGAGTGTGCTCCACTCTAGGGAATGTCAAGAGTGGCTTTTTTGAGTGGCAGCAGGGCATTAGGACTGAAATCGAAGTTTGAGACTCTATTCAGGCCCACCTTGGCACTACTGTTTAGTGCCATTGTTCATATTGGTCTATATGGAGGAGGGGAGATACATAACTGTTTCTCTTTTGGGGGGGAAGACATGCCAGAAGAGTCAAGTTAAGTGTTTTCTGAATATTTGACACACCAAGCCCAAAAGGTTCATCAGCATTGTTTGGTATATAAATGAACAATCAGTTCTATCTGTTTCCATATCTAAACATACAAAGCAAAAGCAAAATAATAAAGCATGATTAATCTACCTCAAGTTAGATCTTGTTACTTTGGCATTCTCTGTGTTCATGGAAAGAGCCTTCCACTGTGCAGTTTTGGCCATTTCATCTGTTATGTTTACCACAGAGGGGTCAATGCTGGGTAATAAACACACACTGATTAGTTCTACATGCCTTGCTATACTATTAATGAGGTGTCATACTCTATCATTTTAAGCCTTGGTTATATTTTTTGCACAGGTACTAGAAAATATTGCATTATTTTACTTTAACACTAAGAATCTCAGTGTTAAAAATAATTCACGTTCCAATTCTGTGTTAGTTCTAAATTAAACTATGAAAATAGGTAACTTCTAAAGGTCTAAACCTTATTATAATAGAATATATGAAAAGTCTTTTGAAAGAATCACTGTTACCTATTTTCTCTACCATGTATCTTTTCCTGGAATTACCATAGACCTATGGACACTTGTATACCAGCAATCATCTTCCTCTGTGGGCATCAGACTCCATGCGATAATAAATTAAATGAATATATTTTTACTCAGCTTCAAAGCAAAGAAGAGAAAAATAAACTGGACATTAAGAAAGGGGCACTGAGAAGCATTTTACTAGTGTGTCCTCTTATAAATCAGTGTTTTGTGACCTGCCATGCTAATGATGGCAGCCTTTCTGTGAATAGGCAGAACTCCAAGGTAGCCATTTTGTAGAGACATTCACAATATAATATTACATTGAATGGGATTGGGGTTACTGCTTTAGGAAAATTAAGAAAAGTATTGTTATAAAATTAACTTAATTATATGATTAATGATATTAGCGGAAAATACTTCATAAAATAAGTTTCTTAAATGCATTATTTCATCTCATCTTATTTTCAACTGATATTACAATTGGCAGAGGTACTGTTCCTGAATTGATTGATTAAGGAGCTTTATAAGCTTTAGTATTCCAGAAAAAATCAAGTGAAATCAAGTGCAGTTAATGCAGTACCACTTTAACAGCTTCTATTAAGAAAGGATAGAAAACTGACAATAAGCAGTTCACAATATATATTTTTACTGAGAAGGAAAATAATCCATAATTATAACTGTTTTTAACAGAAAGTGAAAGCAAGAATAAGCATTATAGTCTTCAGACTAATTGCAGTTACTCACTTGGTATTAATTTTTCATGAAGGGAAAAATGCTAAAGTAATATTGAATCCAAGTTGTAGCAGATCATATAAGGAATATTAATTTTAAAAATTGTAAACAGATGTTTATTTGGGGAATAATAACATTTCTAATTTTATAACACAGAGTTCCCCAACCTTTTCAGCTTTGCAGACCAGCAGGTTGGGGAAGGGATGGTTCCACACAAGTGCTGGGCAAGCTTGTGTGCACAGCTCCATTTCCATAAGCAGTGAGCACAAGCACCTACACTTGTGCAAATGGAACACATATGCTTGCCCGCTACTGTGCAAATGGAGCACACACACACATTCACCCACTGCTTGCACAAGTAAGGATGTGAGTGCATGCTCACCACTTCTGTAGCCCAGTTCTGAACGGATCAAGGCTCAGTAGTGGATCACGGCCCGAGGTTTGGGGACCCGTGTTATATGCTATTTGTACATGTGAAAATACTGTTCAGGCTTTCAGTAAATGGTTAAAGTCTCAGTTTAATATCTTCAGTGTCTTCCACATTAACCATGCACAATAAAAGACAAGATGGGACTAAATAAAGTTCTTCATACAGACACAGTTGACTGATAAGGAGTCATCTGTTATCTAATTAAGTAACATGTAATGCACTATGGGGATACATGAAGCTACAATATAAAGTCTTTGGTCCTCTTTCTCACCATGATTAATTCTAGATTATACAAGCATCATTCAGAATTAAGTGGAATAGCTTATTATATAAAATAAAATGTAAAATAATAAGTAAATACTACACCTGTATTTTAGAGCTTTCACAGGAATCTGTAATACTTCACTTCTTTCATATGGAAGGTGTACAGTTTCACTGTCCACTGCCTGAAACATTCGTTCAGCTTCCTGGAAGTTATATGTAATCCAATACAGGTTTGACAAATTTTGAATTATAAGTGAAATATGAATTTTGTATTTTGTTAACATAGACCTAAATGCAGGCATTTGGAAACTGCATAGTAACAGACTTCACTCAACATTTGAGGAATAAAGGATGAAGGGTTGTGAAGAATTCAGGCCAGAAAAGTATACTCTATTCTCCTCTTATGAAAACTCCTTCCTATGTAAGCCATTGTATTGTGGCATTCAAATTCAGGCCCATGATAACCACCAAAAAAAGAATATTTTTTTTGAATATTTGCCAAAAACCAGACATGAAGAATTTTTCATTATAAGAACATTTTAACTCAGAAACGGGTCATTTTGAGTACAGATTAAACTATTTAACTAATTAGGAAATACTGACCTTGAAATGGCCCTATTCTGAAATGTTCTGGGTCACATGGAATGGGCCCATTTTGAAGTCAGGCCATTTTCAAACATTTACAGTACAATTACTAGAACAATACTGTCTATTGCTAGGTTACTTTGTTATATGATAAAGTATTTATAAATGTAAATCCCTCATAATAGAAGATACAATAATACAAGTTGTCTAGGTATTGCATTATTTCAAATCTACTGAATTTTTCTTTGACACTTGTTTTAATTATACAAACACATTAAAAAGTATGCCAACAAACGTAGCAGTGATCTTACCCACAAAATGATGTACTACATACCATTAACTTTTTTTCTAGTTTACATTTACAATATTAGACATAGAGAAATTTTAGTATATTTCATTCCAAATATATCTCCAGTTGCTATTGGTTTACATTTGTTTATATCCTGAATACAACATGTATTTTCTAAAATAATTTACTATGGCTTGTAAAATAATCCTGAAAGCAATTAACCATCTATAAATATTTCTTGTATTTTAATCTTTGAAAAGCCTTCCTAATATTTGGAAAAGAGCATTTACATTTGACACTTATACAATATCTATGTTGAGTGTATATTCTGTATATTCTGTGCTGTCATATTCCTATCGATTACATCTCATTTTGCATGCTTTTATAGAGCTTTAACGAACTACTATGTTTAGAGGAATTAAAAGCTAATTTCCATTTATTTCACTGATAACTTGAATCAAATATGGAAAATGTTTTCCATTTCCCCATCAAATACTGCTTCTATGGGGGCTTTTGCCTCAATAATGAATACTATTTCACTTACTTCCTTTGCCTTTTTCTTTTTGTCATCTTCCTTTTTCTTCTTACTTTCTGGCATAAGGTCATCAAGCCAACTGAGCTCCCGTTTGGTGAAACACAAATCCATAAGTTTGCGAACAAAAACTAAAGCTAAAACCTTTAAAACAGTTTTAAATATAAATTATTAGCAAAGCTAAATACTAATATAAATATAGAATTAATATACGGTAATTAAGGTACACATTAATTGTATAGATTTAATATTATCGTTGAATTTCATATTTAGACATTTATAAATGATGCATAAAGTTGCAGATATACTGAAATATTTGCTTACCATCATAGGAAAAACAACAGCAGCAGCTGATGCTTTAATTGCCCACAAAAGAATAAGACACGTAAGCTGAACTACTGTAAATACATGTACTTTCCATAATGGCACATAACGGAGATAAATCAAATCAGGTTGATGTTTGGCAGGCATACCGAACAGTTTAATACGATCAAAAAACTGTAATGAAAAGAAAAATTATTAAACATATATCTAAAAACAATTTTAGAAAACAAAATTATAAAAATAAATTGATTACAAATTAGACATGATACTCTTTGAGTAGTAAAAATAATAATCTTATTAAATCTGTAATAAAGAGTTACACTAGCTACTAAAAACTTTTAGAATTTCTGGATTCCTATCTATTTGCAATATTATGAAAATAGATATATTTGTAAAAATTCAAGAAGGCGAGTTCTTTCAGCAAAGCTAGCATAGTTTTAAGAAGAACAAGGCAAGTAACATAATCAGAATGGAGAATTCTTCCCTCCCAATGACCTCTGTGAATTTAATACATACTACTGCTAAGACACAGGATTTGGGAATAAATGTATGTATGCACATATGCAACATATACTTGTGTACATACTCTCACACTATATAACTATTAATAATAATTCTATTTGTCTGTCTAGCTATCTCTCTTAAAGTGGTGAAGATACCTCATACTCCTGTTTCCCATTTTTCTTATAACAGCAACCCTGTGAGTTGGATTGGGCTATGAGAATGTGACTGGCCCAAAGTCACTCAACTGGCTTTCTTGCCTAAGTGAGGCCTACAACTTAATTTTCTGGTTTTAGGACAATACCTTCAAATTGGCTGTTACTGCAATGGGAAATTCAGAAATACCCCTTATATAAGCCCATCTTATGTTCTTTAGAGCAGAGGTCCCCAAACATTTGGGCACAGGCACCAGTTCCATGGAGAGAGGTTTTTCTGTGGACTGGAGAGTGCGTAGTTTTGTGTGCTGCCTCCATCCCACGGATGGGGTTTTGCTTGTTTGTGCTTGAAAATGCTGTGGCCCCGTACTGGTCCACAGACCGGGAGTTGGGGACCCCTGCTTTAGAGCTCAGCTATGTGATCTCCTGACCTTTATATTTTCAAGAGCATCTTGAAGACACTCAAAAGGCATCATGTATGGGGGGCAGAGTGAGATGGGAAAACCAAATACTGCGTAACATCTATGTTATTTTTTTCTACAGATGCAACATGATTAAAAATAAAACTTGCCTGAATGCCTTTTAATGAGGATGCTCCCATATAAAGAAAAACACCATATAAAACTGGCATTGGAATAAACTGGAAAAAAAAACCAGCAAATTAAACTTTAAAAATCAACATATTAATGAATATAAAAGCAATAAACAATTTTTCACAAAGATTGGACCATCCCATAACAAAAAATAAAAATAAAAATATACAGATTTAAAAAGATGAATTTTCCGATGTATTTTTGAAAAAGGAGACTGCCTGTCATTAGAATATAAATGATTGGCAAGTATCTGGTTAGGAAAAAAAAAACTGGTTCAAATATAAGGCATTACTATTCACCTATGATAGAGATGAATATAAAAGCATGACTAATTTGACTGTAGATTATGAAAGACTGAAAAATATAGTGAAGAGGAGGGAAGGGAAGGAAAAACAACTTTTTTTAATACACTAAGTTTGTGATAAAATTATTTTTTTTCTGCTGCTTACCTTTAATATAGAGGTCATAAATACTGATAGCCCCATCAGAACAAAAATCATTAATCCTGTCACTCTTTGTTCACGGATTCCCAGGAACTTTGGTTGTTCTCCTGGAGCTGAGCACTCAGATTCCACTTTTAAACTGTTGACATGGCTTATTGAAAGGACAGTTGCAGCCACAAACCAAGGCAAACCCATAATAGAGCAGATACCTAACATAATGCCAACCATGAGCAGATCAAGATGATAACCACAACCTTTCTGTGGAATCAAACACAAATGTTTCATGCTAAAATCATAGTAAATAATGTTCACAAAATATTTAGAATGTTTGTTTAAAAGTTTAATATAATAAATTATATTATGTAATATACTATATCATACCATGCCATACAATATTTTTTTTAATAAAGTGTGATTAAACACACAAGGAATTTGTCTCAGGTGCAGAAGCTCTCAGTGTACAACCAACAGAGTAATAATAATCATAATAATGATATCAATAAGAAGGCCTAGTGGAGAAGATGAGAAGGATAATAATACTACAGCCATACAACATGGGTAAATATACTTAGACATACAGTAATACAGTACTGTGAGGATTAGGTGTTCAGCAGAATGATGACAAAAGGGAAAAAACTATCCCTGTGTCTAGTTGATTGACAAGTAATGCCCTACAGCGATGATCTGAAGGGAGGAGTTGAAACAGTTTTTGTCCAGGATATGAGGAATCTGTACATATTTTCTCAATCCTCCTTCCGACCCGTGCAATGTACAGGTCTTCTAAGGAAGGCATGTTGGTTACTATTGTTTTTTCTGCAGTTCTAACTAACCATTGGAGTCTTTACCTTCTTTTTTAGTTGCTGTATCAAATCAGACAGTAATAGAAGTATGAATGACTGACTCAAATAATAACTCTGTAGAACTGTATCACTAGTTCCTGGGGCAAACTGAACTTCCTAAGCTGATGCAGGAAGGACATTTTTTGTTCTGCCTTTTTAACAATGGTTAGGTGTCGGTTTCAAATCCTGGGAGATTATAGAACCCCAAAATTTGAAGGATTCTACTGCTGATACCATGCTGTTGAATATAGTAAGAGATGGCAGAATATGTGAGTTTCTTCTAAAATCCATTCTCATCTCTACAGTTTAAAGCATGTTCAGCTCCAGATTGTTCCAACCGCACCTCGGGGCCAGATGTTCAATCTCCCGTCTATAGGCAGATTCATCATCATCTCGAATGTGACCAATGACTGTAGTTATCATCTGCAAACTTCAGTACTTTGACAGAAGGATCCTTAGAGATGCCGTCATTGGTATATAGAGAGAAGCCGTCATTGGTATATAGAGAGAAGAACAATGGAGAGAATACACAGCCCTGAAGGGCACCTGTGCTAATTGTCCAGATGCTTGATAGATTTTTCCTAGCTTCACTTGTTGCTTCCTATCTGTCAAAAGGCAGTAATGCACCTACAAATATGGATAGGCACAACTAGTTGAATAACCCAACAATTTTACATTTACATCACGAATCAGTTCAACATAAGGCTGTGGAAATCATTTGTAAGAGGTATACAGCAAAACATAAATAAAACATTGTTCCTCAAAATGTTAAAATAACAGTCCTTTGAAAGGCTATGTGTGTGTATATATACGTGTCTATTTATGCTAGGACTGGTCATTTCCAAGTTTTTGCCTAAAAGTTTTGGCTTTTAATTCTGTTGTCCTTCCATACAATCTTAGAACATCAATATTTCATTTACCATATCTTCCAGTAAAATTCCTTTGTTGTTAGTTGCGAAGTCGTGTCTGACCCATCTTGACCCCACAGACAATGTTCCTCCAGGCTTTCTTGTTCTCTATCATCTTCTGGAGTCCATTTAAGCTCACGCTTACTGTTTCAGTGACTCCATCCAGCCACCTCATTCTGTCATGCCCTTCTTCTATTGCCCTCAATCTTTCCCAGCATTAGGCTCTTCTCCAATGAGTCCTTCCTTCTCATTAGGTGGCCAAAGTACTTGAGTTTCAGCTTCAGGATCTGGCCTTCTAAAGTACAGTCGGGGTTGATCTCTTCTAGGACTGACCAGTTTGAACGCCTTGCAGTCCAGGGCACTTGCAGGAGTCTTCTCCAGCACCATAGCTCAAAGGCCTCAATTCTTTTGCGCTCAGCCTTTCTTATGGTTCAACTTTCACAACCATACATTGCAACTGGGAAAATCACAGCTTTGACTATACGTACTTTTGTTGGCAGGGTGATGTCTCTGCTTTTTAGTATGCTGTCTAGATTTGCCATAGCTTTCCTCCTCAGAAGCAAGTGTCTTTTAATTTCTTGGCTGCCGTCCCTATCTGTGGTGATCTTGGAGCCCAGGAAGATAAAATCTGTCACTATCTCCATTTCTTCTCCATCTATTTGCCAGGAATTGAGAGGGCCGGATGCCCTCTCAATGATCTTGGTTTTCTTAATGTTGAGTTTCAAGCCAACTTTTGCACTCTCTTCCTTCACCCACATCAAGAGGCTCTTTAGTTCCTCTTCATTTTATGCCATTAGAGTGGTATCATCTGCATATCTTAGGTTGTTGATATTTCTCCCGGCAATCTTAATTCCAACTTTTGATTCATCTAGCCCTGCCTTTCTCATGATGTGCTCTGCATATAAGTTAAATAAGCAGGATGATAGAATACAGCCTTGCCGGACTCCTTTCCCAATTTTGAACCAATCAGTGGTTCCGTATCCAGTTCTCACTGTTGCTTCTTGACCCGCATATAGGTTTCTCAAGAGACTGGTACTCCCATCTCTTTAAGAACTTGCCACAATTTGAGACTTCTGATTCCGGATTGTAGTGATCCCGGTTGTGTTTGGAGACTTGTCTCCACACCGGCCGTGTTTTCTTCACCGGTAGACCCCCTAGTGGGTCGAAGGTCGCCCTGGAAGGGCGACCACCGAGGAGGCTTGCTGGTGACTGCGGGAGGGCGGCAGCTTCTCCCGCGGCCCCAGCTATCTCCTTAGGGCCGACGGAGCAAAGATCATCCAGTAAGATGGCCGATTACCCTGCTGCACCAGCCAAAAGTCACAGGAACATCTAAGCATTAAAGACCCACCACGGATGATCCGGGTGAGACCCCTCCTGCTCCTCTCTTCACCCTATTTTGTCTTTTTATTCCCTGTAAAAGCTTCCTTGGAATTATTTCCCTGGCTTGAAAAAGCAGCTTTTGTTTCTGTGGGAACAAAGGCGTTGAACAAAAGGATAGAATAAATAATTTTAATGATCACATTTTATTTTTTATCTACTTTGGGGTACAGAAAAAATTCTTTTTTAGAGCTGTACTATTATTTTACATTGGAAGATTATTTCTTTTTCCTTTTTCTTTAAAAGACAGAAAAAATGGGAAAAAATGGTGTCTGGGAACGATTTTTTAATCTACTGAGGACATCTAGTGGAGAAAAAATTAACATTGCAACTGCTGATTATTGTTTGGAGATGAGGTGGATTTGACCTTCAAATTATTTTTGAAGAGAAAAGATAAGCTGATGCAGCTGTGGGAATTGTGGGGGTGGATATTGCTTAAATTTTATTAAATACAGCCTCCACTAAAAGAAAAAAGGGATTCTCTTCAATTACTATTAAAATGGAGAAATCTCATTCTCAATTAAACTGTAAACTTATATTGGAAAAGATTTATGAGGCTACTGAAGAAATATGTACTAAAATGAAAGAAATTACTACAGAATTAAGAGCCAGAAGCCTTATCCCAAATGCTCAAACTGACTTTCAGACTGCACCTGACCATTCTATAAATCAAAATACACCAGAAGAGGAATCAATTGAGATTAAAGAGGAATTTATTTTACTTTACAAACACTTCATCTACATCTTTGAAGATCAGAAGAACCAAGGACTGAGAACCTTTAAAGCAACGAGAACTTTAAGGACAAGAACCTTTAAAGCAACGAGACTTTAAGGACAAGAGAAATAGATACCCAATCCAGAGGATGGGATGCTGTTTATTGACTCAAATGACATTACAAGCAATAGAAGGAGATCTATTGGCTAAAAGGGAAGTTTTGTTATGGAAACCTGTCTGGCACAAAAAGGCCAGAATAAGACTGAAAAGAGAAATTTAAAATTATACGGGATGGATTAAAAGACACTGTAGAACTATTTAAGGATTTAAGGATTAAGGATTTAAGGATTAAGATTTAGAGTTAGAAGTAAGAGAGAAATGGGTGATTACTAGAATATATATTTTAAATAGACTATGAATGTACTTTTAGAATAATAGGTTTATTTGTATGAAAACTACTATGTAATGAAATGAAGAAAATCTTTTAGATCTGGATTGACTCAATAATTAATTGAACATGTTAAATTAGTAAAATGATGTTTTTGTGTGATAATATGGGTGTTTTTAGGCATGATAATTACTTGGATGAAATTTGAATTTTGCTTAACAGCTTGAAATGATTTAAGGTTTGATATTACTTTGCTAGGTTAAAGAGATTGATTGATGGATGGATGGATTATATATGTATAGGGTAGACTAATATTTTAATCAGGATACATAGTGTGTAGTAGAAGAAATAAATAAGATTTGTGATAAAATTAAGGATTTAAGAGATCAGAACTAGAATATATCTGGAAAGGATACCTGAAGTGATAATGTGTTTATTTAAGGTTAAATTTGACTATGTAACTGTAATTTATAAAGCTTAAAAACAGATTTAGAATTTATAGAAATTTAATTTAGAAATGGATTATTTTAAATATATTATGCTATTTGAGAATGCATTGATTTGAGTTATTCATATATGGCTTTATTGTTGGACGTTTGATTGCCCCAGCATCACAGTGTGTCTCGAGCACTTTGTTCTAAGAAATAAAAAAATAGTTTAAAAAAAAAAAGAACTTGCCACAATTTGTTGTGATCCACCAGTTTTTAAATACAATAGAAAACTGTTTTAAATAGTTTTACTTAAAATAGTCCTTCTGAATAGTAGACTTACAATCCTTGGTTGATCTCAACAAGATATGAAGGGTTGGATGTAGTTATCAATGTGAGGTTAAGAGAAAATTACTCAGCTGTACACTAGCTTGGGAAGTTAAAAATATATTGGAAAAGGCAATAATAAACAGATGCCAAGAAAAGATACATGTCCATGCAATCACCAAAGGAACCCTGGGAGGAAGTGATCATGCAATATTAGAATTCAACATTATAGAAGCACAACCAATAGAACACAATCAAACTAGAGTCTTGGACTTCAAGAGAGCTAATTTCAATAAACTTAGAGAGGGCTTGGGAAGGATTCCATGGATGAGAATCCTCAAGGGGAAAACAACTCAAGAAGCTTAGGAAATTTTGAAAAATGAGATAATAAAAGCACAGTCTAGCACAATACCAACAAAGAGGAAAAACAACAGCTCTCAAAAGAAACCAGCATGGCTGCATAAAGAACTCTCTGACAAATTGAAAGATAAAAAGGACAAGTATAGAAAGTGGAAAGAGGGAAACATAACTAAGTCAGAATATCAGCAAATAGCCCGAGCCTGCAAAGATGAAGTGAAGAAAGCCAAGGCTCAAAATGAACTAAGGCTTGCGACCAAAGTCAAAAATAACAAAAAAAGCTTCTTTCAACATATAAAAAACAAGAAAAAAGTGAAGGAAATGATTGGTCCATTAGTGGGTGGAAGTTGCAAGAAGGTGACAAGCAACAGGGAGAAAGCAGAACTATTTAACTCATTTTTTGCATCTGTCTTTACACAAAGGGAAAAAACAGACCAACCTATCAAAAATAGTGCCATAAAAAACAAAATAGAAACACAAGTTAAGATAGGCAAGAAAATGGTTAGTGAGCACCTGTCCAGCCTAGATGAGTTCAAATCGCCAGGACCAGATGGATACACCCCAGAGTTCTCAAGGAACTGGAGATGTGATATCGGAGCCACTGAACTATATTTTTCAAAGATCCTGGAACACAGGGGAACTACCAGAGGACTGGAAAAGAGCTGATGTAGTTCCCATCCTCAAAAAAGGAAAAAAAATGGATCCAGGAAATTACAGACCTATCAGCCTGACCTCAATACCTGGGAAGATCCTGGAAAAGATAATCAAACAACGAATCAACGAACACCTAGAGGCAAACAAAGTCATTACTAAAAGCCAACAATGGGTTTGTCAAAAATAGATCATGCCAGACAAATCTTATTGCATTCTTTGACCAAGTGACAAAATTAGTGGATCAGAGGAATGCTGTGGACATAATTTACTTGGACTTCAGTAAGGCATTTGATAAAGTAGATCACAACCTACTACTTGACAAGATAGAAAAATGTGGGGTAGACAGAACCACCACCAGATGGATCCGTAGCTGGCTGACCGGCCGTACTCAGCGAGTGGTCCTCAATGGAACTGCATCTATATGGAGGGAAGTGTGTAGTGGGGTGCCCCAGGGCTCTGTTCTGGGCCCAGTACTCTTCAACATCTTCATCAACGATTTGGATGAAGGGATAGATGGGGAACTCACCAAATTTGCAGACGACACCAAGTTGGCAGGAATAGCCAACACTCCAGAAGACAGGCTTAAGATACAGAAGGATCTGGACAGACTTGAACACTGGGCACTAACTAACAAAATGAAATTCAATGGTGAAAAAAAGCAAGGTTCTACATTTAGGCAAGAAAAACCAAATGCACAAGTACAGCATAGGTGGCACCATGCTCAATAGTAGTAACTGTGAGAGGGACCTCGGAGTCCTAGTAGACAATCACTTAAATATGAGCCAGCAGTGTGCTGCAGCTGCCAAAAAGGCCAACACAGTGCTAGGCTGCATTAACAGAGGGATAGAATCAAGATCACGTGAAGTATTAATACCACTCTTCAATGCCTTGGTAAGGCCACACTTGGAATACTGCATCCAGTTTTGGTCACCACGATGTAAAAAAGATGTTGAGACTCTAGAAAGAGTACAGAGAAGAGCAACAAAGATGATTAGGGGACTGGAGGCTAAAACATATAAGGAACGGTTGCTAGAATTGGGTATGTCTAGTTTAACGAAGAGAAGGACAAGGGGGGACATGATAGCAGTATTCCAATATCTCAGGGGCTGCCATAAAGAAGAGGGAATTAAGCTATTTTCCAAAGCACCTGAAGGCAGGACAAGAAGCAACGGGTGGAAACTAATCAAGGAGAGAAGCAACCTAGAACTAAGGAGAAACTTCCTGACAGTGAGAACAATTAATCAGTGGAACAGCTTGCCTCCAGAAGCAGTAAATGCTCCAACACTGGAAGTTTTTAAGAAGAGACTGGACAGCCATTTGTCCGAAATGGTGTAGGGTTTCCTGCTCGAGCAGGGGGTTGGACTAGATGACCTCCAAGGTCCCTTCCAACTTTACTACTACTATTATTATTATTATTATCAAATGAAACTTTCCCAAGAATAAATGATCCCAGTTATAAATAAATTAAGTCTGCTACAAACTATTAAAGTCTTTAATTTAGCTCACGGGTGTCAAACTGCTGGCCCATGGGCTGGATGCATCACGCCAAAACCGCACCCACCCCATTGCCAGCAATGGGAAAAAAGTCATGATACGTCATGTCATGTCACGTGACACCACGAATGTGACACCCATGATTTAGCTGAATACAAGATTTTGACTTGGATGTTTCCTATATGTAGGAAATTACTACAGTACTGTAATTATTTCTAATTTAAGTTAACTGTTGCATTGGTAAATGAACAAAGAAAACAAATATTTACCTTGAGTTTATGCTCTTTTCTGTTTATGATAACAGCTGTAATTTGCTGATCCATAAAAATAAGGATGGTACAGAGTAAAGCAGGAATTGCAGCTACTACTAGGGTCCACCAAGGATTATTCCCTAGAGGATTGATAAGCCATCCACGACCACTCTGTGTAGGCTAAAATAAAACATAAATATACAATTATCAAAAGAAACAGATATTTTTCATTATTTATAGAGAAATACTCACTATAAATACATGGATACAGATTATAATAAAAGCCATTTTAGATGATGTTTAGATTAAATTTTGAAAAAGGGTACATTTCATATAGGATGCAATTAATACAATACAAAAATTTACAACATTACTTTAAGATATAAATATTTGAAATTTGTAAATTTGTCATGATCACAAAGCATTATTGTACTTTAGTGGTTTCCAACCTTTAGTTTTTTAACACTATTATACCATTATTAAAGCTGAACCACCAAATAAGCAAGTTATTTAATAAATTTTAATTATAGGCTATCACTGTCAGGAATCAAACATATATACCAAGAAGCATTTAAAAACAGATGCTTTTAAATAAATAAAAATATAGTTATATAACTTTTGAGACATGACAGTAACAGAGTCTTCCCATTATGGTTGCAAGTGGTGTCAGCTGTTAAGCAAGATTAACACTTAATAACCCTACTTTCCCTTTATGTGACTGTTAAACAAACATGCAGTTGTTAAGCAAAGCATGGGATGCCTCAGAGGTAGAGAAGGTCATTAAAGGCCTAGTGCAGGATATCCTGTGCTCTGCTTCCTGGGTCCCCCCCACAGATCTTTTCACCCTCTTTCAGGTCCCAAAGACCTGATTTCCACCCAACTAGGTTCCATACCTTCCTTGTCACTTATCTTTTAAAAGTTCTCCAGACTGCATGTTGGAAAAGAGTACAGGCCACATGTCCCTGAGTTACATGGCAGCCTCGTGGAAGTGGCCACTTTCAGATAATCACCATGTGGGATAGGGACAAGCTGGCCTGTTTTGCTTAGCACAGTCCCCACATTGGCATGCCAAAAAGGCAGGTGCTTTTGTTAGGCCACCACCCAGTCCAGGAACAAACTGCTGCATTTTGTTGCTATAATATGGTCTTCACGGTGCTGCAGAAAGCATCTGCAGAAGCAGAAAGCTGCTTGAGTCAAAATCATGAAATATGCAATCAAATATATGAATTTCACTAGTATAATTTCTCATTGGATGTTACTCTATCAAGCTACAAAGCTAATAAACATTCTTGCTTCAGCAGCCTATCACATCAACAGCTACTTTCTTTAAATAAAATAATTTTCCTGATTTAATGGATAGTATTTCAGAGTTTATTAAGAAAAAACTAGAAAGCATTTGCTTACTTCAAAATTTTCAGGCACATTTAGTTTAGGAGAAGGAACTCCAACAAGATAATCGATGCAAACCATAATCACTATTGTCAAAAATACAGCAAAATCACTTATTGTAGAACGTACCTAAAAAAGAAAGAAGACATAGCATAAAAGCACTTTGGCACTTCATATATTTACCTGCAATGAAATAGTTCTAAAGGACAATAACATTTGTAATTATTCAGATTCTGTAATATGCTCTAACGTCTTAATTTTGAAATAGCAATCATCAGTTAATGAAAAAAAATTCTTCATGAATAAATCTAATATTTATGAATATTATCTAATAATATTCTTATTATTCTAATATTCAATAAATCTAATATAAATATTAAAGCAAAATCTTGCAAAAATTATTTAACTAATTTAAAAAACCTATGTCAACAATTAAAATATTTCTTCTTATTTTACAATACATAATGAAAATATTCAATATAGATGAAGTAATGGGGTTTTAATTAGTATTTAAAATTTGGAAACAGGTAGTAAGATTCTGTACTCGTTGTCATCAGCTATTTTTCTGCCTAATTAAATGTAATTTAGCACTGTTTCAATTCATTCATCATTCATTTCTCAAACTTTAATCAGGTTAATTATGATCAATTTAATTTTTCACTTTAATATTAAAAAGTACTAGCAATGTATTTCATATGTATTAATCTTTGAAGAACTTTGATTACAATTGTTCATGTTCAGTTCTAATAAGTTATTTTCTCACAGAAGCGTAACATGGGTTGCTAACTGTGCATTTGTTTAAGCTAAAACCTGTGCTAAGTTTCAAATTTTATGTATCATTCAAACCACAACAAATGTTATAGAAAATGATACTGAATCAGGTAACAATGTAAAACTATACTTTCAACTGTTTAAGCCTTAACTTCATCTAATTTCTAAAGAAGGTATTTTCATTATCAAATCTGTTTTTGTGAAATATGCTAATTTTTATAGCACAAATATCCATCTCAAAGTTTCACTAAAAACTTTCTAATGTAGATTATCCATGTTATAAAATTTCTGACAGGTTATACACAAAATATGTAACCACATTCACAAGTAAAGCTACTTTTTGCAATTGACTGTTTTTGCCTATGTTGATGGTGTTCAAGTGGTACACAAATGTTAGGATTACACTCAGGCACTTATTACTATTGGTACTATCTTTGCTTTTTGTTATTATGATTGAACACATCATCATACAGGTATTATTATTATTATTATTATTATTATTATTATTATTATTATTATTATTATTATTATTATTATTATTATTATTATTATTATACAAAAAAACCAGAAAAAAAGCAAGACAGTGAAGAAGCAAACCAAAATGGAACAAGAAACAGGAGAAAAAAAATTCCTCACTCTCTGATTTCAGAAATGATTTCTTCCCTTTGTCAACAAAAAGATCTGTTTTGCAATAAGACAAAAACATCTGTATCATTTTTAGGATTATTTTCAATTTGAACCAATATGGGAATATGCATTAGCCAAGGGCTTCAACGAATCTAGCTTACCACTCCAACACTTCTTCTCTTAACATTTGCTCATGCCAGATTTCATTAACATTTAAGAAAATTGGTCTCAGAAATTAGAGGTATATTAGTGCTAAAGCTTGTTTTCTCAAGTCTCTCACTTTAGAAAGGGATTCAATTTTTTCTATAGTGTTTAGGATATTTTGTTAATTCTTTGTATTAAGTATTACTTAGTAATAATTAATTCATATTACATTAATTATTAATATTATTGATATTTTACTAGGTTTATTAATTAATACTTAAGTATTGTAGAACATTATGGTCACAGGGCTGAAAATGAAATAGCAACAAAGAAATAGCCATGCTGCAATAGTCTAGATATGCAAATCAGTTTCAAGATCCTTTGGGTATCAATATAACTAAGGATGCAGCAGGAATATTGAAAATATACAAAATAATTCATTCTTTGCCTTTAATATTACAAATCAAATTATCTTCAACAAAGTACTTACTGTAAAAATAATGTAAATGTATAAAAGCTATCACAATTACCTTAGTGGGAAAATAACGTTTGGTCTTAAACTGCTTGAGAAAAGAAGAGAGGAAAAATGTTGTAAAGAATAATATGACAGACCAAAAAAGAACATCTGGGAAATATGGACCATGATGTCCACAAGCTGATCCAACAAATATGCCATGAAGATTGTTGCATTCCTATAAATATAAACACAAATCAGAAATTGCATTAAGAATATTCACATCTGAAGTTAAATTTGTGTCTATTATAATTTCACCACAAATGAAATTAAAAACTTACAGTTGCTTGAATATAGACCAAACTACATTTACTTGTTAATTTAAAAAACAGTTTAATGATTTAATATGCAAAAATACATAACAGTTTAATAATTACTTCTAACTAGAAAGGCCTAAAAGCTCCATAAAATAAACAAATTTCTTCCCATGTTTAGCGTAATTTATCCTCTGTATGAAAATCGACATTTTACAGATTAGTAAAATGAGATGGACACTTTCAGTTAGGAAATCACAGTTTATTACTCAGAACATTAAAAACAAAGAAGAAAGCTTTTATAGTTAAGAAGGTTTTAACAAGAACAATACTTGGCTACAATGCAATCTGTGACAATACTATTAATTAAACTTTAAGGATGACCACTTAAATGATAACTATACTATTTATGCTCCAAACACTGATATAGAAGAGGAGATTTTATGATTAAGTTCAGTTTGAAATTGACAAAGCATGTCAAGCAAGACTGAAAGCTGGAAGGCCAATGTTAGAAATATTAAAGAGGAAAATATAGTTGGGTTGCATAGTTTAAACTTTAGGGAACTGAAATGAAGCAGAAGATTGACTTTCTAATTTCTGTCACACCAACAATTTCTTCGTAGGTAACAACAACAACTGAAATGTTGCCTTTATACATGGACATCACCATTGAAATTTGATTAAATATATTTTTCTTATACAGAGCTCTATAATAACAGCAAAAACATGGCAGTGCAGACTGTGGAAGAGATTATAAACTGCTCATGAACATACTTCAACTTAAGCCTAAAGAAGAAACCAACCAGTTTCCATGATATAATCTTAAACATATACCATCATTTTCAAGGAGAGTATCAAGGATCACTTCGAAGTCCTAAACCTTACTGATGAAGCACCAGAAAAAATTGAAATGAACTTAAAGAAATTTTGAATGTGAAAAGAGATTGCCAAAGATTAAGAAAAAAGGAAAAACTGGATGTGAGAACAAACAATGAAAACTGCCAAGAAGATAAAAGATAAAAGCCAAGAAAGACAAAATTTTCAGGAAGAAACTTGAAAAATAGTTACAAAGAGCTGTTGAAAGAAACAAGAATCAGTGTTATAGCAACAACTGCAAAGCCACGAAAATTGGAAACACAATAGGAAAAACAAGGAAACCCTTTCTAAATATTTCTGAGCTCAGAAGGAAGTCCCAACATTGAATTAATATTCTAAACAATGCCAACAGATAGTTAATAACCAATTATCTTAAATGTAATTCTATTATCAACATGCAAGATAGCTTAGAACAGGGATGGCAAACTCAATTTCATTGAGGGCCGCATCAGCACTGCGGTTGCCCTCGGGGGGGCGGGGGGCAGGGTGGGTGCAGCCTACTGGGTGGGCATGGATGGAGTGGGTGTAGCCTATTCGGTAGGCATGGCCAGTTCTACATCGTTCATGTCAAGGGTACCTGTGGGGGCCTGGGCAGGAGTGGGACAGATATGAGGGTCTCTGGCAGAAGGGGATGGGACCAGGGCAAGTGCCAAGGCATGGTCCACTGGAGGAGCCTCACCGTTCCTCTCAGGCCATGCGGGGGGCTGAACGGTGGTGCGGACTGCCCGGAGCCCTGGGCAGCAGAGGTCAAATGCCCAGCCTGGCCCTCCAGCACCCATGGCACCAAGCCCAGCCCTACTTCCCCAAGGGTACGCCCAGATGACTTACCTCCTCCTCAAGGCTGCTGCTGCTGTGCTTGCTCTCTTTAGCCAGGTTGCTCATGATGGGTACAAGGGTAAAGTCAGAGGGAGCCCCATTCCCTCTCCATGGGAGGAGACCCAGCTCTGTATCCAAAGCTTCCTTAGCAATAGGATGGGAGACCCCCAGGATAGACCAGGATGAGGGGCAAGGGGATGGTGAAAGGGCATCAGGGCAGGACTAAGGCAGGGCTTCCCTCAGACCCTCCCTCTCCTTCTTTCCTTTCTTCCTTCCTAAGTACAAAGTGGTGGGAAAATATTTGAGATGAGTGAGGGAGAAAAACAGGCAAGAAACGCAGCTGGGAAGATATCACCCTTCGTAAGGAATAAAGAAATGCACCATCGCCTGGAAGTGGCCAGCACATGGCCCTCACCTACTTCACATATCTGGCTTGGTGGGCTCTGGGGGAGGGGATGCCATGAGCAGCGTGAGAGTCAATGTTACCTGCGCAATGCCACCCAGCCCCCAGCCTGCCTGGTTTCGGCAGGCAGCGGGGCACTCTCCTTACAGTGCTGAGAGGCTGAGCCAGGCGGCATGAATCTGAAAAGAAGCATGATGATACCCAGCCCCCAGGCTGTCTGGTTTCAGCAGGCAGCGGGGCACTCTCCTCACAGCGCCAAGAGGTTGAGCCAGGTGGTGTGAAGCTCGCCAGCTTTGTACCTTGCTGCCTGCTGAAACTGGGCAGGCTGGGGGCTAGGCAGCATTGCACTTCTCATCAGTTTCACATCACCCAGCTCAGCTCTTGGTGCTGTGAGAAGAGTGCCCCGCTGCCTGCTGAAACCAGACAGCCTGGGGGCTGGGTATCATCATGCTTCTTTTCAGATTCATTATTATTACTACTACTACTAGTACTATTACTACTACTACTACTACTACTACTGTTATATAACTTATAAATGTTGTCATCTCCTTTCCAGAGGCATATATTGTAATTAGTTTGACAAATTAAATAGTTAAAGGTGATCAAGAGAGAAGGATAGAAATGCAGGTTTGGGGAAGAGAAAGAGAAAAATCAAGAATATTCCCAACTTTTTATCTGTTTTCTTTATTGAAAAAGTGCAGGTTTGTGGGGGAGGCAGGAAATAAAGCAAGGAAAGATTTTGGGAAATTCATCCTGAAGCTGCCACCTTTGCATGCAGGGCAGTTGCAAGAATCTGCAAACTCTAGTAATAATAGTCAAGAGATAAATTGGAAAAAAATGAAACTAAAATGAAATATGAAAAAGAAACTAAATTAATGACAACAAGTAGAACAACAATTTTTAGAACTGATAATTTATCAAAGAGTTAGATAGTTTCTGTCTTTTAGGATCAACTATTGACAATAAGGAAAGAAGCAGACAAGAAATATATCACAGATGAGCACTTGGCAGAATAGCCATGAAGGCCATGGAAAAGATAACTAAATGCTGAGACATGTCTATACCTGTAAAGATCAAAACAATCCAAGCAATGGCATTCCCTATAGAATGGTTTTGCTTCTGTGGAAGCAAAAGTTGCGCTTTGATGAAGTAGGACAGAAAGAATACTTATGTTTTGAACTTTGGTGTTGAAAAAAGATCTTGGGAATATTGTGAAAGCAAAGAAAACAATTGTACTATTGAATAAAATCAATCCAGAATTTTCACTCAAGGAACAAATAATGAAGTTCAGCTTATCCTATTTCATATTATACAAGTTCTGGTTCTGCAGAAAAACCTGTAAAACTGGAAAAGATAGAAAGAAAGAGAATAAGAGGGCAACCAACAGCAAGGTACATGGATTCGTTTGCAGGAGCAATGATTGCATTATTGGAAGACCTAAAGATCAAGTTAGAGACAGATCATCTTGGGGAAAAACTTTGTGATTGTTAACAGTGGACATTGACTTGATAGCTGATACAGAAGGTCCTCACCTTAGCATCACAAATTAGAACTGCAATTTCGGTTGTTACATGATGCAATCATCAAATAAGATTGCATGTAGCTTCATCACTTTATGACTGCAGTCCCAGCATTTCCAATTACCATTCATTGATGATCATGGATTAGCAGAGGGAGTCTCAGATAAGTGCTGATGGTGGATGGGGAAGGCCTTGGGACAGGCTGAATGTCTCATACCTTCCCCAAGCCATATGTCAAATGCAATTTATTATTTCTTTTTTATCAGCTCTGCAATATGAAATTTTACATCACCTTTCAAGACATTCACCTTAACTGTAAAGTTGGTCCATGGTATGTTATCCAGAGAAGTATAGTTTTTCCTCCACAGCTCTAAAGTTTCATTACTGGGATTTGGAGGCTCAGCACATACACATCTAGCAAATTTAAAATTAAGCATTTGAATCAGTGTCTCATATTTATATATTTTAACATTTATCATTATTTTGAAAACAGAATAATGGAAACTAAGAAAATTTGCTATGAAATAATGAAATGACCTAAATGACCTAAAACAGGAAATGCAGTACAATTTCAAAATGAATTGTTTTAATAAAGAGCTAATGATAATAAAGAGTTGATGATTCACTCTAAAAATAAACACTCGTGATCCTTTTCAATATTAGAAATAAAGGCAAAAAAATGAAGAAAAGGAATGGAATGAGGAATATCCAAACAAATAATTTAGAATATGCATTAAGAATAATAATCAAAGAAACAAATAGAACAAGAGAATAATTGTGCTGCATCTAAACTATTGTATTACTTTTTTTGATGAACTATCAGCTTAATCTGGTTCTCAAAATTTCTAGGAAAGTTCAAAGAAAACAGTAAAAGAACATATTTTATTTAAAAATCATACGTACGAATACAATGTCAGCTTATCAAGGTCATTGTGCATATTGAAAGGATATACTTCTCCCAAGTGAAAAAGTTTTTCCAGTGCTTCGTATATAAATATTATGCAAATCAGAGCAGCAAAAGCCTCTTCAGTAAATCGAGTAATGTAACACACAAGGCTGCTTGCATCAGTTGCTACTAACAAGATGCATAAAAATGATGTCCACAGACCAATACTGGTTCGTAAAGAAAGATAAGAAAGTTCATAATCCCTGTTGAAAAAGGCAACATAGAATCATATATTAGTAAAATGATTTATAAAAATAATTTTCACTATTGTAATGCATTCTATTACACACTAATGTTGATATAGATATACACACACTCTACTATGTAGTACAATTTGAGGAGGACTGAATCCTCCCAAGCAAATAAACCTATCTATGGATCAGTAACAAACTTCAAAATACAGATTTTTATTCTATTTCAATAGAGTAAACTCCACTAGTTTTTTTTAAATCTTTGAATTTTTAATGACATTTCAACAACTGAAATAAAATAATTGGAAATTTTAAATTGTAAAGCTTTAAAATCAGGAATAGCAGATCTGTTGCAGAAGCTGGTCTCAGGCATTACTGCTACCTTCTGAAAATGTGTGGTAATAAGACCTTTTTTAATGCTTATGCACCCTTAATTTATGCACTCTTTTTAAGAGCTTCTTTATTAATTCTTTGGTATCAAATTAGGTCCAGAGTTAGTCTGGCACAAGTCAGCTTCATGTTTTTCCTCTCTCCTTCCTGGCCAAGGATATTTCCCAGAAAAGAAGCCACCAGGTCTTATTTTGGGGGATGTCTCACTCAACTCTGGCTCTGACAGCCCCGCCCAGCAGGTCCACTTCTTCTGGGGCCAAAGGAGCAACTTCATTCTACAGCTGCATTCTGGCCTGCATTTTGCAGTCAGGCCTTTCCAGAAGGCCTATGCAGCCAAGTACCAAGCTATGAATTCAATCCATAGCTCAGTTCTCAGCTGCAGAGTTCTTGCAGAACCGAGCTATGGATTGAATTCATAGCTCAGTTCTTGGCTGCAGAGGCCTTCCGGAAAGGCCTGTGACTGAGAAATTCAGACCTGGCTGCAGAAGACGGCACAGAAGAATGGGCCGGCAAGGTAAGTGGGTTCAGGGCATGCAGAGCAGCTCCACATCCCCATCCCAGCTTGATTTTTTTAGATGTGTGCCTCGCCCCCCAAACTAGGGCTTATTTTGGAGGTAGGCCTTAAATTAGGCCCACCCCTCCAAAATCAAGCTAGGGCTTATTTTCAGAATAGATCTTATTTTTGGGAAAACACAGTAGCAAGGTCTCCTGCCTTGAGCAGAGGGCTGGACTAGAAAATCTCTAAGGTTCCTTCCAGCCCTATGGTACTGTGATTCTAAGTGCAACCATAGGGAAAGAAAAAAAAAGCCAAAAAAAACCAACAACAAATCAATCTGACTGCAATGGTGTGATAAAAATCCTTTCCTTTTTAACATGTATTGCAAATAATATGCAAAAATTGCATTTTTGGGGCACTCATGGATACTGTGCTAATTTTCCTGATGCACCTCCTCCCACCATATAAGCAGTGGTGCTGAACCTATAACACGCGTGCCAAAAGCGGCACTCAGAGCCCCAGCCCCGTCTTCCCCCACAGCCCCTTCTCACCAGCCCCCCCCCCCAGAGAGTTGCCTCTGGGCGCGGCTGATGCGGACCAGCACAGCCAAGGACATGCCAACCGGGCAGCAGGGACAAGACTCTGCCCTTTGCCCCGTCGCATACAGGTGATGCTGTGGGGTGCAGGCGGAAGGCGTGGCTGCTATGGTGCTGCAGGGCTGCCTGGGCGATATGCTGTGGCGGGCCAAGGAGCAATGAGTTGACCTACAGATGGGCAAAGGCAGAGCACGGGCAGGGTGGCATAATGGGAATGGCTAGGGCAGTTTTTCAGCACTCGGTCTCTAAAAGTTCACTATCACTGATATACAGTGAGGGGAAAAATATTTGACCCCTTGCTGATTTTGTACACTTGCCCACTGACAAAGAAATGATCTGTCTATAATTTTAATGATAGGTTTATTTTAACAGTAAGACAGAATAATAATAAAAAAATGCAGAAAAATGCATTTCAAAAAAAGTTATAAATTGATTTGCAATTTAATGAGCAAAATAAGTATTTGACATGACTTAGTGCTTGGTGGCAAAATCCTTGTTGGCAGTCACAGAGGTCAGACGTTTCTTGTAATTGGCCACCAGGTCTTCCCACATCTCGGGAAGGATTTTGTCCCACTCCTCTTTGCAGATTCTCTCTAAGTCATTAAGTTTCTAAGCTGACATTTGGCAGTTTGAACTTTCAATTCCCTCCAAAGATTTTCTATGGGATTAAGGTCTGGAGATTGGCTAGACCACACCAGGACCTTAATGTGCTTCTTCTAGCCACTCCTTTGTTGCCTTGGCCGTGTGTGTTGGGTTATTGTCATGCTGCAATACCCATCCACAACTCGTTTTCAATGCCCTGGCTGAGGGAAGAAGGTTCTCACCCAAGATTTGTTGTACATGGCCCCATCCATCGTCCCTTTGATGCAGTGAAGTTGTCCTATCCCTTTAGCAGAAAAGCACCCCAAAGCATAATGTTTCCACCTCCATGTTTGATGGTGAGGATAGTGTTCTTGCAGTCGTAGGCAGCATCATTCCTTCTCCTCCAAACATGGCGAATTGAGTTGATGCCAAAGAACTCGATTTTGATCTTATCTGACTACAACACTTTCACTCTGAATCATTCACTTCAGACGGGCCTGTACATGTGCTTTCTTGAGCAGGGGGGCCTTGCGGACGCTGCAGGATTTCAGTCCTTCACAGCGTAGTGTGTTACCAATTGTTTTCTTGGTGACTATGATCCCAGCTGTCTTGAGATCATTGACAAGATCCTCCTGTGTGGTTCTGGGCTGATTCCTCACGTTCTCATGATCATTGAAACTCCACGAGATCTTGCATGGAGCCCCAGACTGAGGGAGATTGACAGTTATTTTGTGTTTCTCCCATCTGTGAATTATCGCACCAACTGTTGTCATCTTCTCACCAAGCTGCTTGGCGATAGTCTCATAGCCCATTCTAGCCTTGTGTAGGTCTACAATCTTGTCCCTGACATCCTTGGACAGGTCTTTGGTCTTGGCCATGGTGGAGAGTTTGGAATCTGATTGATTGCTTCTGTGGACAGATGTTTTTATACAGGTAATGAGCTGAGATTAGGAGCACTCCCTTTAAGAGAGTGCTTCTAATCTCAGCTCGTTACTTGTAAGGACACCTGGGAGCCAGAAATCTTGCTGATTGATAGGGGATCAAATACTTATTTCACTCATTAAAATGCAAATCAATTTATAACTTTTTTGAAATGCGTTTTCTGTATTTTTTTTGTTGTTGTCATTCTGTCTCTCACTGTTAAAATAAACCTACCATTAAAAGTATAGACTGATCATTTTTTGTCAGTGGGGAAACATACAAAATCAGCAGGAGATCAAATAATTTTTTCCTCACTGTAGGCCCTTGGTCTTAAAACAAATGTAATTTCATCTGCAATTTGATGCACTTTGGTTTTTAGTATTTATCGTTTGTTTAATTTGTTTTTCATATTTATTTTTTAAAAAATATTGTATCGGGATAAGTACCTTGAAGATTTGCTAATGATGAAATCAAGAAGGCAATTTGTAAATTCACTCCTAGTGAATCAAAAATTAATATTTGAAATGATGAACTAGTTTTGTTCTAGAATGCTTGCCTTATTTGCCCATAGTGACCACTCTAAAAGTGTTTAATAATGGAACCCTAAGGACAAAATTTTGATTTCTTGCTAAATTAAGTCATGCAAATATTTAATCTGTTTGAAACAGATTTCAAACAGATTTCACACACTATACTTAAGTGTGCCTTAGAGAAACTGAAGCTAATGGAATGTTAAATTTTTGAGAATGAAAAATGTACTTACTTGCAAAATTTAAACAATATCTTTTCAAATACTAGTACTGGTCCAGTGCTGCCCAATATTGTCAAAGGTTGCCCAGAAAAAAGTGAATAGGCAACTCCAGTTAATGATGCTCCAAATAAAGATTCTATTGCACTCTGGAGAGAGGGAAAAAGAATCATGTGATTCACTGAAGATAAACTCAAACCTTTAATAATGTGTATTTTCATACATTAGTTAACAGCATCAACAATTAGAATATTACAAATATTATTAGCTAAATACATTTTATTTTACATTGTGGATTAGTAATAAAGTGTTCAATATGAAATAGTCCAACTAAGGTGTACATTTATACAAAAACCTAAGGAAAGATTATTCATTTTGGCACATTAAATGACAAAAAAGAATGTTATAATACATGTAACATACCAAATCTAATTAAAGTAAGAAAACAAGGATAAGTTTTACTATATAAAGAAAGCATGTTTGTAACAAACCTTTAACCAAGCTGAGCATGAGGCTTGTATTAAAACATGCAAATCATAGAACTGAAAAACTGACTGAATACAACAGAACAATGATGATTCAATATTTAAAAGAAATAAATTGACAGTAGAAATAATAAACAGATCAAATACTGTAGTTATTATACTATCCAGTAATGCATTTTCTCAATTACAGTGTTCCATAGATGCCCAGCAACTATCTCCCCTTTTATTTTCTATATAAGGCAGGGAATGGGAGGACTTAAAATTATATTTTTATGTATTTTAAAATACCAAAAGTAATTTAAAATATTCAAATAACCTCCCATTTAATTACTTTGATATACTTCATAGTATTAACACAACAAAAACATTTTCTGGGCAAATATAATACAAGTTGCTACTGTGTACACTAAAATAATCAATAATCACAGATATGTAAAGGTCAGTGGGGTTAGATTAGGGTTGGGCACAAGCAGCCCTTAACATTTACAATCATACTTCAAAGGTACACACAATTTAGTCTGGGCTTATCAGTGAATTAACCTTAGATATTCAGATCAAATATATTGCAGAAATGACAGCTTTGGAGATACAAGAAAATCACATGTACTCAAGGCATGTTTCTTAGGTTATTATGTTTAAAAACAAAAGTGCAAGAACTAATGTACTCATGCACATCAAGCCACTGAAGGGAGCAAACAACTCAGACAGCTAGAAAATACAGTATAAAGTTTTTTAAATGTACATTAAGAAAGAACATTTTAAAAGTCAGTAGCTTTATGACATACAGTTAAACTACTATTTAGCAACAAATTATGCTAAATATCATCATTTTAGCTATGGATAGTAAGCTATGTATGATAGTCACAGACATTGGACATCATATTAACCAGACCATATTATAGTATAGAAAACTAGCTCTTTATAAGGAAGTAGAAGGCAGACTTTTTATGAGTTTTTGAAACCAGGATAATATAACATATACATCTAAAGGTGTCCAGGTATATAACAAATTTAGTAAAATTCAAAGTACTGATATTGTCCTAGACAGCAAAGTTAACTTTTCAATATATACGAAAGTAAGTTTAAGGACTACAAGGTCGTATACTTTAAATTCCACAATGGGATAGGTATCCATTTTGTAGAAGGGGGGTATGCTCTTTTAGTTATAAAAGCTATCCATTCCAAAAACTGCAGGGGGGGGGCATAACAATAATGTAATGAGCAGAGCCAAATTTTATACCCTCTTTGCAAATTTGAAATGTATCCATTAAGCAAATGTGTTAATCAAGCTGTATGGAAGTTGATATAACTAAGTGGTCCTCTATTTTCTCCCAAATGTCAAAAGTCCTATAGCCAAAGTTCTGCTATATGGCTGCCAAATTTTATCAAAGCAAACTGAGAATGTTCTAGAGATGATAAACATGTAATTCAGGACAACATATGACTCAAAAGCCATAGATTTTTCCACCCTGTGCATAGAAAAATACATTTATACTGGCATATTATATGCCATAACATCTTCCAAAAGTAGTTTCACAAGTGCCAGTTACAAACTTAAATGCTGAGCACAAGTAACTTATATTCAGTTATTCCATTAATGTATATATTTAGTTAATTCATTAATTTGAAAGCTAGGATAAACCAACTGTTATTATGGCTGATACACTTGAAATTATCATGAAAATGTAATAGTTGACCAAACTTGTTAGAGTTCACATTCAAATTTTCCTTAGAAATATATTTTTCCTCTGGAAATAGAAAACAAATATTTTAAAACTAAACTAGATGTTACATACATGCATTCAAATCCAATTATTTCTTTAGAGTAAATCAGATTTAAGAGAATTATTCTGTGTGGAGAACCAGTAGGAAAGGATGTTTTATCATTTTTCTGCCATCTTTTCTCTACTGCTATATCCCCAGAAACATTTAAGCCTGGACTTGGGTAGGTGGGGAAGGAAAGATAGTGGTAAATGGTTTTCACACCAAATGAAATAGGATAGGGAAATTCATGATAGAGAAAGGATAAATAATTCTCATATCTCTTTTTGAAAGTTTTTTTTCTAACAAAAAGAATAATTTGAATTTTGTTACATGCATGTGTGCATGACACAGTTTAGCTCAGAATGCTGAATTTTTATTTACAAAACATTTTAAAATCATATTTTTATTTTATTATTTCACAAAAGAAACAAGATCTCTGACTTAGCATTCTTGAATATATTATGAAGATGTAACAAACATTTTTTTCCCATTAGGTTAAGGCCTTTTAAAAACATACAAATGAAAGTTGTTTCTCAGACCAAGAAACAGATTCATCAAGGCAGGATAATTTTTACCTTAACTGTGCATCTCCTCCTGTTCTCCATTTTTTCCACATATTTGAGAAACATGTATTATTGGGCAGGGCTAGTCAAAAGGATGTTGATAAAGGTCTTCAAATAAAAGTAGAAATAAAGGAGACAAATGAACACAGTCACTTGCCTCTGAAAAGCTAAAATCCTGGCTACTACCATTCTTTGTACTCACTATTCTGCCTTCTGTAGCTTCTCCAAGGAGCCCTCCAAAAGTGATTACAGGAGACATACAGGCACAGTATAGGAAAAGAATCGAGGCCAGACACTGCAGACTTAATGCATCCTTGAAGTCACTCAAGAAAAAAGATGTTTTCCTTTTGATGTCAAGTATCAAACCACCAAAAAGCCTAAATAGGTGAGATGAAACTCATCAAACTGTACTCTATAGGACTCCAGAATTTTAAAACTATGGGACACACAAGACTGATAGTGCAGATTTTTTAGCATAAATTAGCCTTATATTCCAAACCTATTGACAATACAGATGCAAACATTCCAATTTCAGCTATACATTCTCAATTGAGTGAACTGATATTCTGATTTATGTATTTTAATGGTAAAGTATCTACTGTTAGTCTCTGGGGTCTTAAATGAAAACATTTTCAGGTCATCAACTTCTGTATTCAGTATCAGGTTTTGTGTATGTACGCCGGTTGCAGTGAATAGTAATATATGCCTTGAGTAATTTTAAAATCGACTTACATACAATCCTGGTATCTAATATTAACTATATTTTTAAAGATATAGGAAGCTAGCTGCAAGTATTTGTAAGCATTGTTTCATTGTTTATAAAATATTGAAAAAATTAATTTGGTGATTATAAAGTATTCTTTGAAAAAAAAACGTTTAATTTTTAAAAAAGCTGAGTTACAATGCCCATTATTTTTATGTTTACACTTGAGAATGAAAAACAAAACAAAACAGATATTCATCCTGAGGAAGATGAAGAACTTTTGAGATAAACTGAAATTTAAAATCTTCCATTTGTCAGGGTTACCTCTCCTTTAATAATGGTATTCAATTAAATTTTAGCTCATCTTTAAATTTTAGGCAACCATATCTTCACAAGGATTTTCCATATGAAGACATTTCAATAGAATTTAGCTTACTAAAGATATTAGCCCTTTTCTTTTTTCTGTTGTAACTGCAAAGATTGGGAGCTTACATGACATCTGTACAATTTTCACATGTGAGAAATCTCTATAAGTGCTGTTTACTGCAATATTTTGAATATCTAGCTTCGTACAAGCAATTTTTGACTTCAAACTATTTTTATCTTCATAATCTGGTTTCAAACGTTGTTTTAAAACTTCACTATAGTCCCTGGAGCCTATTAAAGGATACTTCTACTGTATTAAGAGACTAAAATAGACCATTAGCTAGGAATCAAGCATTTTTATGTAGAAATTTTAATCCATGGCATTTTATAAATTTTTAAAGCAATAACAATTTAGATTTTACACTTATATTGTTACAACTGAAGTAAATTCTACACACCTTCCAGTTCTCTGTAGTTCAGGTCCAGCATGATGACCTTCTTCGTTAAGGGGTTCTCCAGGAGAAGCAGCTCCATTTGGAAATTTAGGAATCTTCCTCTTCTCCTATATTTAACATTAATCTGTCAAATGATTTTTGCCTTTAAATCATGATAAAGTTATTATTCTTAGTATTTGTTCCTTGGTAGAAGGGTCTGCTTGTTTTAAATTATGTTTATCTAGTTAATATAGCAAAGCTATCAATGAACGATCGGAGGAAGGGTTTTGTTTTTCAATCAGCAAATAACAATAATTAGAAATCAGAAGAAATAACTAGCCCTCAGTCAATGATCCAAGGAAAACTAGAAGTTGGGTCTCCCATTACTAGTCCAGCATTTTAGCTACTACACTATGCTCACTCTCAAAGTCATACTGCAGTACAAGCATAATTTCAAGCCATCTTCTTCACATTTATATTAGTCTTCCAGGCTAACTATATAATACAGTGTTCTTCCAAACCGGAGTTGTATTTTTAAAATGCTAATCTAATATTAACTCTTTACTCAGAAATAATTTCCAATAATTAACACAATACTGTATTAATAATAGCTTGTTTAAATCAATCGTAACTAGATTGTCTAAGTTAGGTATAGTGAATATATCAAACTGTGGATGTGTCATAAATTATATGTGATAGCCACTCCTATTCACTAAATTGTCTAAAAGCTATAAAATAATGTCTTCCTTTCTTTTTGCTTTTGAATCTTTCTATAGGACAAAAACAATACTATGAATTTGATCTCACCATTTCATCACTTTGTTACTACTTTATTTTTCAGGTTTGTGATACAATCTTACTCAAATTTACCACATCATTATGCATTTTTAAAGGACTCTTCATTTGAAGAGAAACTTACCTGAGAAGGAACGCTCTTCGGTGGTTCAATTCTTATTGAAGGATCCCACTCGCCTGGAGGAAGAACAGTCACTTGATCTAAAAATTCATCAATTCCAGATAGAAGATCATTTCTGTCTTTGGCTTTATAAGCAACATCATGGAAAACCTTTTAAAAAAGGTATATAAATATGTATTTGATTTTTTGACATCGCAGAACTCTTTACTAAGAAGTACAAAACATGACTAATATAGCTCAAAGACCAAAATGAAGAATTAGTTTAATAAACCTCCATTAAAATATTAACTTATAAACACATTGGGTTTTCTGAATGAGGCTCCCACTATTGGCTGGACGCATTTTGCCTCTGGCCATCCGCCTCAGCCTATTTACAGCCAGCTTTCCTCCTCCACTGACCCTCCCCTGGCCATTTTCCCTAGCCAATGGGCTCCTAGTCCTCCGCCCCTCACTCTTCGGCCTGGCCCATTCACCCAAGCAATCTTTGTCCTGGGTGTTTTGGTCCTCAAGACAAGAAGCCGCATTATATGAAAGATGATTCATATTGTCTTCAATAATTGTTCAACTGCTATACATTTAAAAGCCTAAAGGAAGAATCTACTGTATAATCTATGCAGATCTCAAGGAGAAAGCATTCTGCAACTAATTTCTAAAACCAAATTTTGTTAATATTCTTTCTAAAACACAGTTGCAGGTACTGCTTACTTGCAAATAATATGAAATGTACAGACAATAAATAATCTAACAATACTGTGACAACTTATCTGGCATATTCCACATATTCTGAACAATAATAATTTCTTATAATCGGCAGTAATGGTGTAAACTCCATGAACAGTTTGTTATAGCACTGTAAAGGTGGAGTTATCATTGATGAAGAATCATTTTTTTAAAAAAAAGAATGGACTTTGCTGGGCATTATTATTAAAACAATATAGTAATTTGATATTTAGAAGCTTTAATCATCTTGAATAAGATGGCTGAACAGACAAAAGTACAAGTTATAAGAAAATGGGCAAATTCTATACATGTAGTATTACTTTTATTAGTATTGTTTGTACTCACATGACTACAAGAGCTAAAATTTCAACTTACTACTTACTACTTGCTGTTATCCTATTTCCAAAATCTGCCTTACTATAAAGTTGAAGGCAAAATTTGAATATCCTTTCTGAACAATTATTTAAATTAATTTTATTTGTGAATAGCTGCTTGGGTAAATGTTGACAACGTGCGTACAAACATAGATAGACCACATAGATTACACCCCAAGGTTCTGAAGGAACTGGCAAATGTGATCTCAGATCCACTGAACTATATCTTTCAAAGATCCTGGAGCACCAGGGAAGTATCAGAAGACTGGAAAAGGGCTGATATAGTTCCCATCTTCAAAAAAGGAAAAAATTGGATCCAGGAAACTACAGACCTATCAGCCTGACCTCAATACCTGGAAAGATTCTGGAAAAGGTAATTAAGCAACGAATCATTGAATATTTAGAGGCAAACAAAGTGATAACTAAAAACCAACATGGGTTTATCAAAAACAGATCATGTCAGACAAATCTTATTGTATTCTTTGACAAAGTGGCAAAATTAGTGGACCAGAGGAATGCTGTGGATTTAATTTACTTGGATTTCAGTAAGGCATTTGATAAAGTAGACCACAACCTACTAATTGATAAGATAGAAAAATGTGGGTTAGACAGCATCACCACCAGATCGGTTCGTAACTGAGTAACCAACTACACTCAATGTGTAGTCCTTAATGGAACTGCACCTACATGGAGGGACATAGGCAGTGGGGTACCCAAGCCTCTGTTTTAGGCCCAATACTCTTCAACATCTTCATCAATGATTTGGATGAGGGGATAGATGGAGAACTTATCAAATTTGCAGACGATACCAAGCTGACACGAATAGCCAACACTCCAAAAGATAGGCTTAAGATATAGAAAGATCTTGACAGATTTGAATATTGGGCACCATCTAACAAAATGAAATTCAGTCGTGAAAAAAGTAAGGTTCTACATTTAGGCAAGAAAAACTAAATGCACAGGTATAGTATAGGTGGTACCTTGCTCAATAGTAGTTACTGTGAGAGGGATCTTGGAGTCATAGTAGACAATCATTTAAATATGAGCCAGCAGTGTGCTGCAGCTGCCAAAAAAGCCAACACAGTGCTAGGCTGCATTAACAGAGGGATAGAATCAAGATCACGTGAAGTATTAATACCACTTTATAACGCCTTGGTATGGCCACACTTGGAATACTGCATCCAGTTTTGGATGTTGAGACTCTAAAAAGAATGCAGAAAAGACCAACAAAGATGATCAGGAGATCGGAGGCTAAGGCATATAAAAAATGGTTGCTGAAATTGGGTATATCTAGTTTAATGAAAAGAAGGATTACGGGTGACATGATAGCAGTGTTCCAATACCTCAGGTGTTGCCACAAAGAAGAGGGTATCAAGCTATTCTCCAAAGCACCTGAGGGACAAGAAGCAATGGATGGAAACTAATCAAGATGAAAAGCAACCTAGAACTAAGAAAAAATTTCCTTGCAGTTAGAACAATTAATCAGTGGAACAATTTGCCTCCAGAAATTGAATGTGAATGTTACAACAATGGAAGTTTTAAAGAAGAGATTGGACAATCATTTGTCTGAAATGGTATAGGGTTTCCTGCCTGAGCAAGGGGTTGGACTAGATGACCTCCAGAGTCCCTTCCAACTATTCTATTCTATTCTATTCTATTCTATTCTATTCTATTCTATTCTATTCTATTCTATTCCTCTGGTAAATTGCTTGTGCTATTTTGAATTAAAATAGTTATTTTTGCAATCAAATCTTCACAGGTTTCATTACATACCAGCCCTAAAGATGCATAACAATTGAGATCAGAATTTCCTTTGCTGGATGATATGGTCATAAAGCACAACCAATCACTTAGTGACAGCAATCTCAGCAGTCCTAATCACCTTTGTTAACAAAATCCTACAGTCTTTGGTGAGACAACTTCCTTCTGACTTCTCATAATCAATTAAGTGAGGAAGCCAGCATGAAGTTGCAAGTCCCAGAAGCTTGTAAGCAGGCTGGCAAGCAGGTAAGTGGATGCTGCCGAGTGGGAGAAGATGAAAGAGGTTTGTGAGGTAGGTGTAGCAAGGCTTGGGGGGGTGAGCTCAAGGAGAGTACTGAGAACTGTGGCAAAGGTTGGGAAGGGTGAACAAGGAAATGAGGGAGGGACAATGGACCCTTTTTCTGGATTGGTTAAAAAAGACAGAAACAACTGGAAAGAGATGGTCCCATAGGTAAACTGGCCCCAACCCAAGAACATAAAACTACTAGCACTTGAATTACAAAAGAAACAAACTGGAAGCCAATACAACAGTAGTGTTACATATGCTAAATAATTGGCACCATTGACTATCCAGACTGCCACATTTTGAACCAGCTTGTCAAGCCCTGCGAGGCTGACCCGTCCGCGCCAACGAGTGGCGGGCTGTGAGCCCTTGGCGTGTTGTCCCATTGTCACTCATACACCTTTCTTTTGTTTTGCCCTGCCTCCTGGTCCGTCGTCACTGCTGGGACGCTTGCGTCGCAGGGCCGACACTCACTGGAGAGGAGGCCGTCAGCTGGTGTCTTTCATTGCCGGAAGTTGACTGTGGGGCTGCACGACCAACGAGTGCGATGCCTAGAAGGACGCTCTAGGCTCAGCTGCTTCGTGAGCAAAATGAAGCAACCCTTCAAGGCCGCACGGCCAACGAGTGCCGTGCCTAGAAGGACACTCTAGGCCCAGCTGCTTCGTGAGCAGAACGAAGCAACCCTGCAAGACAATAGAGTGCAGCTGGACAGGACGAAAGAACACTGAAGCCCCAGCTGACTCCTGTATAGCATTTGATGCACCAGATGGTGGTCTCAGGGGTGGGGTAGTTAACGAGGGTGGGGCTGGTTTCTTGAGGGTGGGGTTTGTATGTGTAACATATGTAAGGCACTGGGAGCAATCCACTCCCAGTGCTGTCTTTGTTTTGTACGGAGTAAATTAAAAACTACCGTCAGTCTTTCATTTCTACTTGCCGGCTTGTTCTCTAGAGCACTAAAAAAGGACGCATTGACAGTAAGACAGCACCCCTTACCTTCTTTTGATCACCTGGTTCCCTGTGAGTGCAGGAAACAGCAGAGGGAACCCAAGGGATCGTGGTGGAACCGGAGGCTACTGAGCCGGTCATTCAACCACAGCAAACCGCAGCAGAGGCAGGGGAGGAGTAGCCAGAAGTACAGCACAAGGAAAAGGCCCAGCATCCTGTGGAGCTTGTGGGTGAGCCTCAGCAGACAAGCTCTATGGTGTCCTTAGGGAAATGGTGGTTAAGCCCTGCCCTGCAGCACCCAGAGGCCGGCCAGCTGGGTAGGTCAGGACTTGGGGAGGCCCTACCCGGCTGGAGGGAGAGACGGGTGACTGGAGATGAGGAAGAGTGGAGTACTCTACAGCACCAGGCCAATACACTATGGACATCCTTCGGGACCAGTTTGGAGAGGTGGGCTATTCAGACCCATCACCCCAGCCCAGGGGCACTCCTGCCTCTGGGGGTCCAGCTGACTCGTCAAGGTTCCAGCTGGCCAGCCCAAAACTCTGCATACCTCCTCTCAGTGGCTCTCTCCAAACAGGGGCCCCTGAGGTAGGCATTTCAACTGCACAGTCCTGGGTTCAATGGCAGGACTGGGTGGATGCCGCCGTAGGGGCAGCGACCACCAGGCAGTATGGCTTGGCTCCGGGTAGTGGTCGATCTGTTCCAACGGTCGATAGTCAACCCGGGGCGCAAGCAACAGGGCCATGAGGCCCAGGGTTCATGTGGGTTCACTGCCTATTGCGGTTCCTTTTGACAGCAACCTAGACTGTTTAGCCATGTTTCTGAGCCAGGTGATCAGCTACCTGGGCAGGTTTGCTGCTCTCTACCCGTCTAATTGGGTAATGGTGGTGGCCGTGACAGTGAGCCTGCAGGGCGAGGCCGCAGCTTGGGCAGCGGACTTGTATAGTGACCACACCTGGGAATTGGCCGATGCCGGACTCTTTCTTATGGGACAGAATTGAAGACCCCTCCTGGGTCCAGTGGGTGGAGGTCATGGGCCTGAAACAAAGGAGTCAGCCTGTACAGGA